GACCATACTTTACTCTTAAAACTGGACAAATCCAAATCACATAACAACTCGTCCCACCAGGAGGTATGTTACATGCAACATTTAAACTACTCCCTGCTGTTTAACTTTCTCTCTACCACTGGGTTGTCTTTTGGTACCCAGTTCTGTTGGTTACAGGGGTAGGCCAAATATACAATACAATTCCATTCCATACATTTGAATTTTGTTGTACTAACTGAATTTCTACCGAGGAGTTACTCAAAGGTTTCAGATACTGAGATAGACACAAGACTGGTATTACGTGAGGGCCTGCAAGGGGGGTAGTGATTACGAATTACGCAAAACTTTCGCCGCCTATTACGAATTACGTTAAAGTCTCAGAGCTGATTACGACTTTACGATTTGCGGCTTATGTCCAATTACGAATTGCGTTGATTTTTGCGGAGGCTGCCTACGAATTACGAAGTCTAAAACGAAAAAGGGCTTGCAGGGCCTCATACAATACAATTCCATTCCATACATTTGTTGTACTAACTGAATTTCTACCGAGGAGTTACGCAGAGATTTCAGATACTGAGATAGACACAAGACTGGTATTTGCTAGGGAATTTACTGGAGTACCGTACAAGCAAGCCAAAAAAACCCATGCAGGCCTTTGTTGGGCACCAACTACTATAATCTGGTTAAATATGGGTCACAGGATGGCTTTTGGCTTTAGTCTCTGCCATTAAACATCGCGGTGTTTGGTTCCTTGTCTTTCTTTCTTCTTGTAGTCATCCTTTCAACCTTGTCTAGGAATGAAATTACTCTGGGCAGTTCTGTGTGCCTGTAATTCGGTTAGTCCGTTAGACATTTGATACTGAAGGACCAACCTAATTTAAGCTATCACAAGGAACGCTGAACAGGCTTTCTTGACAATTAAGAGACCTTGGGATGCCTTAAGTAGGTTTCCTCTCCGCTGGGCCCCTTGTCGGACAACTAACAGACAAAACTTAATGCTCCCTTACTTTACAGTTCACCTGTCTCCAGTTTGCAGCTGTTATGCTATGACTTTATGAGACTTTATTTTATGACACCAAACACTGTAAAGTTGGTAATCGGATACTGAGATAAGATGAAAGAAAAACAACTGTATCATCATGAATAAAACTAAAGTAAATACATATTCCTGGTGTTGTAATTTCTGCAAAAGTTTCTACATTAATTTTTGTACGATAGAGTTTATAAAAAAAAGTACAGAAGCAAGCAGTTGTATGTGAATTGATTAGAACAGAACAGTTATCAAGTCCTGTCAATGAAGGTATTCAGGTAATGAGATACACAAGAAAATAGTTACTCAAGCAACTGGATAGGTTTTGAAAAGTGTCAGGCATTTCAAGTAGCATCCACTACTTTTCATCAGTGTCTAAATATATAGTAACAGAATCTGTCAACGACAAACATAAAGAGGATGAAAGACAATGTCTGACAGTTTTCAAAATCCATCCGGTTGCTTGAGTAACTGTTTTCTTGTGTTATCAAGTCTGTAGTCTATAGAGGGACCTGGCAGGGTAACAGAACGGGTAAATCTGCCTGGCAGAGTTGGCAGAAAAAACGCTGACTTCTGACACTCTCCCAGACACGTTATCCATTACACTGTCTGAGGGACCGAATTCCACTTCCCACCACAGAGGAAAACCAGACAGCCCAGGAAAATAGCGTTGGGGCCCAAGTTTCCAGTGGAAAATTGGATCCAGAGTCCCGCACTGGCCTCTAGGGGAGAGAGGGGATGGTAAGAAGCTTCTCTCTGGCAAAGGTCAAGGAGGCTGGAGCAAAACAAACTGGCCTTGCTTTGGGGGATGTCCAGTTTGCATTAGTAACGCCACAGTTAGCGGCATGCTGTGCCCTGACTGTGCCCAAGTTCTTGTTGACACAGAAGAACTTTCACTCCTTTTAGGTATACTCTCCAAGCAGAGGTTTGGGTTTTGACTTTTTTGTAATGTCAACCCCAAAAAAAGATAAAGAAGATACCAGTGCAAAAAAGAAAGCCCAATAAAAATGCCTAAAAACACACCAAAAATAAGCCGAAACCCAAACCTCTGCTTGGAGAGTATTCTAGACTTAGATAGTCTCACTTGGCAGGGCGAAACTTACTTTTCCAAAATTACTTTCTGGCCTTTTTTTTACTTAAAGAACTATAAAGATCTCATAACATTTTTGACTGAAGAAGTATCAAGAAATGAGCCAAAGACTGACAGTTCCATTTTATAGGAGGCGGGAAATTAATTCACTATTTTGCCCCTCTCCATTCTTTAAATTGTTGACCCACCCCAGTTCTATCAGTGTGACAAACTTTCCAACTGACCTAGAGACACCCCGAACTTTTCAAGTTGAAAACCTCTCACCAAATGCCTTGCTTCACTTAGGACAGAGTGGGGGAGTGGTTTAAGGAAAATATACACCACCACTATCTTAGATCTAGGATCTGAGACTTTCAAACATAAAAGTAAAAAACCTACATGCAGCACTTAAAGTTTAGGTTGAAGCCTTTCATAATATGTGCTGTGAAAATAAATTTGGAAGTTTTTGAACTCTAAAAAGTATTAAAGATGACATGAAAGTGTTTTGAAGAATTTCATCCTTGTCATGTGCATTTGCAATATTATAGCACAAGCTTCTTCCATAGTGTCCATAGTGCCTCCATGTTAAAATTGATCTTATGAAACTGGAAATTCTTTCAAATTACTTCTGGATTTGAGGTAAAATGTTTATCTTTTCTGTATGGTCAAAACAAAAACATTTACAAAATCCCATTAATAGATAGCAAACAAACAAACAAATGGAGATAAACCGGTAAAACATAACCGCCATAGCAAAAACAATGAATCACTTACAACTAGTCAGTTACATACATGTGACGGTATCTACAATTATAAATACATTTCATACAATTCATATTAACGAACATAAATTCTTAAGTTTACTGTTAAAATGCTTTTCTCAGCTACACAACAATTAATTCTGTGCCTTTTTATTTGTAAGTTTAAGTAGATTTGAAGCTACACATATGGAGAGTTAATATAGAAAGTTTGTTTTGGAACTGAAGTCTGGTGTGCTAGGCTAGCTCGAGTCAATGCTCTTAAGGGCTCCTCCGATCAACTTTGGGGCATTTCTTGGGGCAATTCTAAGACCTTTCAGCTTCAAACGGGGTTTAAGATGACAAAATCGTTAAGAGCATACTGTTATCTGTAAATTCTGACGAAAAACTTTCCTCAAAGTGACCAAAAACTGCGTCTTAAAACGTAATTAGAAACGGTAGACTATCTACTTGTCAGACATTTTCGATCGCTCGAACTTCCCACCCGCAGGCCCCCCGCCAGTAACTTCACCGGTGCCCGGCGGCGACTTCCACCCACCTTGCCCCGACGAACGACAGGCCGTCCTGCTGCCAGAACCTCGCCCACGACCCGCTCTCACTCCCCAGGAACGCTCCTGATCTGAGCTACAGCTCTCCATCTTCCCAAAAACTTGCCAAATCTCGCTCCCAAACGAAGGAAACGCGGCCGCTACTTCTCTAGTCCCGCCATGTTGTGCTCTGAACTGTTTGACTTCAGGCTGCCTCGGGACAGGAAGTCTCCTTATGCAAATCTGGCCACGCCCACTTCATGCCAAATTCACCAAATCCCAACACTTTTTCTTTGCCACATTTTGTCAGCTTATGTCACCTTTAATCAGCTTCTAACACATTTTTGGTACATTTTAACTTATTTCACAGTTTTAGTAAAGAAATCGTAATAGCCAACTTTGATAAGAACTGGACAACTGTCTTTACCACTTGTTTGAATAAATTGGGTGATTTATCGTTTGTGTAATTATCCAGATCAACCGAACAGTTTCATCTTTCTTTTTTATCATTATTCTGCGTGTTTCTACTTTATGTCTCTCTTGCTGATGAAATTATCTAAATAAAGAGACACGCTTCGTCCCTTCGTATGTGCCCTACGCCCTTAATTTTCAAGCGGGGGAGCAGGCAAAATTTACCGGGAGGCCGCTTGAGCGCTGTTCGATGAATTTCAACAAGTGGTTTGAATGGTACAACCTCGCACCACGTGCGCCATTGTTGGGTTTGTTTGGATTTTGTCGTGTATGTTTGTTCAGATCTGGCACTACGGAACATGACGTGAGTGTACCGAGCGGTTTTGCTTGTTTTCTTTTTGGTCTCGTTGTTTTGAATGGGGAGAAAGCGTGTAGGGTTTTCGTCAAATAAACGATAGTGTTACTCTCGTTGTCACCAGACTACGTTTGACAGAGTGTGGGTGGAAAGGGGAACTAACAGATGAAGGACGGTATGCGAAAGAAAAGTCATTAGCCTGGGTGCCAGACTTTTGCCAGGGGTACCCGTAGTATACAGGCTACATCCTCGTCTCCGAAAATTTTACCATGGGCATAGAATTAGAAACACCCCCACATAAACTACTCTACTCTAATATCATACGGTCGCCACTTAAATGCGCAGTACAGCATTTCTAAAGCCATGCACTACTAGTCTCCACCAGACAACTTTGCCAGAAACCGGCCTAAAAAGGGGTTTTTATTGGCCACAGAAGTTGGCCGGCCAGAGAGGGTCCAATTAGCCCGATTTCTACTATTTATGCGACCTGCAAAGGAGTCTGGTGCAGACTAATGCACTACTGCCACATAGTATGACATACCGGTTTTGTACCTGCAATATACTGCAGTTTACTACGAAACCAATAGGTGGCAGTAGTGCACGGTCACTTATCCACCGTGTCTCGCGCAACTCTCCGAGATTTTATTCAGAAACGTACACTTCAGTCTTAGGGGTGAATAACTGATAATAAGTCTTTCAAAATACGTTTTGCCCTTTGTTATAACCACGACTACATACACATCAAAGGAAATATTATCGTAAATTTCATTTGTTATTGTGTTTGTCTAAATAGATGACATTTGTATGGCCAAATGGAAACTCTTTTTATCAATATTCCCTATGTCTATAATAGACTGTTCTACTAGGACGATTTCGCGCCAAAAATGAAAAGATTTTCGTCACTGGTGTAGTTCCTGTCAGATTTTTGCAGTATCGTTTGAATTTTCCTCAGAAATGGTGCTGCAGAACAGCGGCAGATATGTCGCTGACAAGGATGGAGGGTCTGGTTATTCTAGGTGAGGAAAAAATGAACAATGTTGTCAGTTTTCTACCTCAGTGTTGCCGTACGTTTGGTTGGGGGAGGGGGGCGCAAAAACAAACGACGAAAACACTCCATATATGCATTTAACGTCACTGTCATCGCAGAATATACTAGCATAAATACATTTACTTTAAGTTGTCTACAAGAAACAAGTACAATTTCTTAGCCGACTCGCTCAGATCCCATGTTAAATGTCGGTAAATCATAATTCTTAAAGTCTATCTATTTCTATGTAACGTTAGCACATTTTTTTTTGCCAAGCTAAAAATAATTATTTGCCAAGTATTTGTCACAAAATTCTTTGTATGCGTAGTTGAAGCTAGGTTTTCCTCAGAAAACGTCTGGTTGTGTCAATGTTTGCACTCTTTGCAGCCTAGTTTAGCCTAAACCTAGAGCATAGTGTGTTAAAAAAATTGCTTGACAATACTGTGTTATCAGTTTATATTTGTGCAATTTGCTGTAGCAAATTTCGCAATCTGAAAAATTGGATATGTTCACGGAAATATTTGTTCGTGGTGACGACAGGTGGAGAAGAAAGAAAGTCTGAGCAAATTATTTGTTCACGGTAGTGATAAATTATTTCCAGTACAAGTGACCACGAGTATAAAAGAACCGCGAATATAAGGCAAAATTATTTACAGTAATTTTCTCAATGCTTGCCTTCTTAAACCCCCATTAAGACCCTATTTATCATATTCTGGTTGCTAGGGGCGATGACTCGGACAAGCGGCTGGAACGTTCCATTCAGAGTACAGAGATGGACTCACGTTTTGGGTTTGACTGTTACAAAGAACCAACTGAACGTGTGGGCTGGCTCATTAACATGCACCCTGTAAGTAAAACTGTTTGTTTGTTTGTTTGTGAGCTCATTGATGCAAACTGCATTTGAATTTGACACAACCCTCAACTATACTTTCGTATTCAAAACAGTTATGAAATATCCAATGTTATGCAAGCTTGAAGTTTTCAATACCTGCTAAATCTTGAAAATTGAAAAGAATTTTATTGTGCTAAATATACCAAAGTCAAGTCCGTACCAGTTTTACACCACAGTGGATATTTGCTTGTGTATTTACTGGTGGCACCTACATTTTAAAGGAAGTAATGGCAATGGTTTTTAACTTGTAATTCATGCTTTCTAAACTCTGAGTGGTGCAAGTAATTTTCAATATTACATGCTGCAACATGCACTTTTACACGTACACAAGAAAAAAGGATTTCAAGACCTGTGAGTGTACAGTTCATATCTTGATTACTAGTAACTTCCTTTCCCGACTTCCCCCCAGGCTGACATTTTGGACGAGAACAAACGACTCATCAGTGCCGTGGACTACTACTTCATACAGGACGACGGCAGCAGGTTCAAGGTCAGGTTCAACAGCAATAAATCATCTTGAATGTATTAGACTAACTCAGTTATTAGTTCCACCAATGAGAGGGTGGCAATTATGGGTTAGACCAATGAGAGGCATGTCCAAGTAATACTTGCATTTCTATGTTCCTTGTATTTCTGCATTTTGAGGGAGGTGGATTGTTTCTTACTTTGCTAGTCTAATAGTTACTACATTTTGTATTTCTATTCAAGTTCTTATGCTAAGAATTAAAAAAAAGTTAAACTGCTTAGCTACAGCCAATAGACAACAGTCTTAATATCATTTACCATAAAATACTATCTTCTCCTACAGGTCTCCTATCCTTTCAAGCCGTACTTCTACATTGCTGTAAGGAAGGACTGTGAGAGAGAGGTGTCTTCCTTCCTCTCTAAGAAGTTTGCTGGCGTCATCTCAAAAGTAGAGACAACACCGAAGGAGGATCTAGATCTGGTAGTTTCTTCTTTCCAGTCTTAAAAATCTTGTATATTATTAATAATAAGGCTGTACTGATTTGATGACATTTTGTACATAGATGGAATCATGAGGTGCCTTGGTCTGTTTTTTATTTTCAATTCATTTTGTAGCTTCATATATTTTCTGAAATTATCAGAGAAACAACAAATTGAAATGGTGTGGCCTATTATATGATTTGTAACAAGCATAACTAGGTTTAAAAAATGTGTTTTGCATCCTAAGTAATTCTGAGTGGTACAGGAAAAATTTACCTGCACCAGTGCAGGTATGCAGAATAAAGCATTATTGAGCCCTGAATTATGATAATTTTAACATTTTTAATGTGTTAATTACAGGCTAACCACTTGGTGGGACTAAAGAGGAACTACCTGAAGCTTTCCTTCCCTTCTGTGAATGAGCTGATGAAAGTGAAGAGGGAGATTTTTCCAGCTGTGAGAAAGAACAAAGAGAGAGACAAAGCCAATGATGCTTACACCCAGATGTTGGCAAGGTAAGCTGCCTTAATTTCTGACTTGGTTTTCTGAAGTCCAATAACGTTCTTGTGAATACAAACATAATTTAAATGTACAGTACCACCAAATAATTAGCTAGAATCAGCCTATCTTACAAAACAAGCAACTGTTTTATGTTAGCGACATCAAATTTTTGCCTCACAGATATCAGTAAGCTATAGTGTAGGATTCAAAGAATGACCAGAAAATCCAGTCTTAGAAAATACTTAAAATTGTATTGGATGCCTTTAAAAGAAAAATTGTCTCCTCTGTTGCAGATTCCTTTGTGGTATTCATCTAAATAAATATGTTATAAGGCATTCATCTAGTACATTCCGAAGGATTTGAATGTTTCATTGTCAATTTGTGCAAAGGTTTTGTTAAAGTGTGTCGGTGTGTGTTTTTGCAGAGGTATGGGATCTTTGATTTCTAGTTACTCTTGTCTTCTTGTAGTACATTTGGAGGTGAGGAAGAAGGAGGCTCCACATCAAAGAGAATCGCAGACCAGATGGAAAACATCATAGACATCAGGGAGTACGACGTGCCATATCATGTCCGCGTGGCTATCGACATGAAAATCCATGTGGTAAGAACATTAGTAAATTTGTTAATTTTATTTTAACAGGGTAAACACATTGTCTACTGGCACCTTTAAAAATATTTCCACTTCTGATTGACAAAAATGCAAAGATAAATCCATGACCTGGCTTTTTAATGAACTATTTTCCTGACAGGGCCATTGGTACTCTGTGCGAGGCCGAGGTGCACTTCCACCAGAAATCACTAGGAGGGACGACCTGCTCGACAGACCTGTAAGTGCAATGACCTACACACTAAAAAAAATCATCTGTTTTACAATGACCTGTAACTTTTTTTTCAGCTTGGTACAATGAAGTCTGTGTGTGGAGATTTTGTTTTGTGTCTTGGCTCAAGTTTTCTTAGTTATTTTCATTCCAGGGACACTAACAGGAAATTAGGTGAAAGGTCCCAGAAAAGGTTATGTCTATATGTGTCTTTTTGGGATCGAACAAAATCAGCAAGAACTTTGATGTCTTGTCGTGTTAGGTTTGTCTTTATCAACATTTTCTAGATTGAAATACTAGGTTTTCAAAATCTACTACGGTGTTGTGTGAATGTTGTTATTGTTTTTCAGGATCCGATCGTTTTTGCCTTTGACATTGAGACAACCAAACTCCCCCTGAAGTTTCCTGACTCTGACACCGACCAGATTATGATGATCTCCTACATGATTGATGGACAGGTGGGCGGAGCTTCATTGTTTTTCTTTCTTCTTCAAACAAATAAGGTCAATGACCTGGACCAGACGTCTGTCACCATGGTAACTGGACCAGGTGCTGTAGCAGACACAGTGCGGTGTTGGATACATTACGTAGCAAGTTGCAGGACAGAGCCGGACTCACCATATATATGAATGTGATTGATTAAGAATAAATGGAGCAGTAGTTTGTCCCTAGCAGCTTGTTATGGTACTGCAGTCTAACAATTTTCCCTGTTTTTTTTTTAACTGTAATTTTCATATTTTTCAGGGATACCTGATCACCAACAGAGAAATAGTATCAGAAGATGTGGATGACTTTGAGTACACGCCCAAGCCTGAGTATGAGGGGCCTTTCATCATATTCAATGAGGCAGACGAGGTACCGTAAAGCCACCGCACTTGGATCTGTTTTTTCTCAGAATTTTGCAGGAAGTCATATAGAAGTGGAAAGAAATAGGAAGATGTATTGGACTTAAACACTTTCTAATATGCTCTTTACAGATTCACACCATCCAGAGGTTCTTTGAACATATCCAAGAAGTACGGCCTAACATCATCGCAACTTTCAACGGAGACCTGTTTGACTGGTAAGTTACCCTAGTGTGATATTTCATAATGTGGACACACGTACTAGTGCAGTTATTTTTCCTCGAACCATGATTGTAGAGTAGAAATTGCTGCCACCAAGTACAGGAATTATACAGATACAGATACAGAAGCTGGTGTGTTATGCCAAAGGACAGTTATACGAGCTATACCAATACAGATACAGAAGCTGGTGTGTTACACCGAAGGGCTGTTATACCGGATGTACAGATACAGATTCAGAAGCAGGTGTGTTACACTGAAGGCTGGTTATACCGGCTATACAGATACAGAAGCTGGTGTGTTACACCGAAGCTCTGTTACACTGGCTATACAGATACAGCTTCAGAAGTTGGTGTGTTACACCAATTGGCAGTTGTACTGACTATACATAGTATGATTGTTGTTCAGCACCAAGGACAGGGATGTCTGTTTGAATGTCATTCAGCACCAAGGACAGGGATGCCAGTTTGAATATAATTCAGCACCAAGGACAGGGATGTCTGTTTGAATGTCATTATTTCTTCAGTTGACAGTGTCTTTGTTTTTCTCATCAGGCCCTTTGTTGAGGCTCGAGCTGCTTTCCACGGTATAGACATGTTTCAGGAAATCGGTGAGTCTTACAGAAACATCTTTTGTACAATCAGTAATGGTAATTTTGCAGGTTCAAAAGTAACATTTAGACCATAACTGTTCTATGTCAAAATCATCTGCTCTGTTTCTTTAATGTATGGCTTGTTTTCTTTTGTTTTGCAGGTTTTCAGAAAGACAACCAGGGAGAGTACAAGTGTAGACACATTATTCACATGGATGCTTTCAGGTAATGCATTGGCTTCCAGGGCGCAAAATACTGATAAATCACTTCAAATTTGCAGTAGCAAAATTTCGTGGTCTGAGAAAAATGTTCGCAAAACTATGTGCTTGCAATGGTGGCAGGTGCAGAAGAAAGAAAGTTGATGAATTATCCATAGTACCGAAGTGAGGAAGTGGAAGTACCAAAATATGACGTCTTACAAGTGTGATTAAATGCTGGAAACATGGCTGTCAGATATGTTTGTTTACATTCTGGTATTTTATGGTGGCTACACAAACTCAGTGTGCCTCGTGGTCTTTTCTATTACCACCACAAATGTCAGAAATGCAAGCTTATACACAAATATGTTGAAAAGTGGAAGATAATTACAATCACACATTTTCTTGCAGTTAATATATTTCAATTTTTGGTGCAAAATGTTACATGCCTTTAACTTAAGAAAATGCCCTTTTACAGATGGGTGAAGAGAGACAGTTACCTTCCTGTGGGGAGTCAGAACCTGAAGGCCACCACCAAGGCCAAGCTGAGGTACGACCCAGTGGAGCTGGACCCTGAGGAGATGTGCCGCATGGCCAACGAACAACCACAGGTAACAAAGTCATAACACAGTATCTAAAGACAAATCCCAGTTGAGTGTAGGGGCCCCCGAATTTTGAACTTGACACTGTGATTTCATCTGTACATTGTGTTTTAACCAGGGTAAGACATCTTTGGCCTTCTTCCTGCCAAGGTAGCTGTTTGCACCAAATTGTAATGTTTGAAGGGTTAAAGGCATCCAGTAATTTCAGGGCAGTTAAACTAGAGTTTCTTGTCATTTTTTCTTGTCATATTGTGGAAAAAAACCCTATCCCATTGCGCATGTCAGAATGTGTGATATCTGTGAGGTAAAATGCAATGATTGAATGTGTTTTTGTAGTTATTTCCACAGGCACCTTGGGAATGCTGACAGGAAGTTAGGTCAAAGGTTCCACAAAAGGCTATCCCATCTCCTGTCTTAAATTTCCTTCCATATGCATATTTGATACTGTATTGGAGCCTGTGGGAAATTCTAAAATGCATAGACAGAATCAACAAGAAATTCACAGTAGTCATTAAGACAAAAAAAAACAACACTTGATTTCTATATACAAAATGTATTTTATGGAATGATGAGATCTTTGGCTTGTTATTGTAGGTGCTGGCTAACTATTCAGTGTCGGATGCTGTAGCCACATACTACCTGTACATGAAGTATGTGCACCCCTTCATCTTTGCTCTGTGCACCATCATTCCTATGGAGCCGGATGAGGTAAGAAAACATCAGATTACGATATAACTGCACACTCACTCACTCACTCACTGTCAAGTTCGCTTCAAATCTTTCCATATCTAATTGCTATTAAACAAAATATCTCTTCTTTCAAAATATCTTTATTCGAAAATGAGTGGAAATTTTGCTGCAGTTTTCTTCTCTGTCCTATCCTGTCATTCTTTTTGTATTCGTATAAGAAGATCACTTTTCCTTGGTCCCATGGGCAGTTATACTAGGCAAGTTTGACCGTATTCTTGTTTCGTTCTCATAGGTGTTAAGAAAGGGCTCTGGAACTCTATGTGAAGCCTTACTGATGGTCCAGGCTTTCCATGCCAATATCGTGTTTCCCAACAAACAAGAGGCCGTCTTCAACAAGCTGACCAGCGATGGACACGTGCTGGACTCGGAAACGTACGTGGGAGGCCACGTGGAATCTCTGGAGGCCGGCGTCTTCAGGGCTGACCTCCCCTGCAGATTCAGAATGGTACAGTCCTTCCTGAAACTTTTTTTTTCTTTTGGTGCAGGATTTTTATCTAGCAACTAGAAATTCTCTGATCTATATGATGTAGAACTAATAACAATTTCCGATTTTTGAGGTGTTTGAAAACTTCCCAAGAACTATCGCAGAGTGGAACTCGTTGCCACCAAGCACAGTTGGGGCATCATCACTAGAAAGCTTTAAACAATTTCTGCAATTAAATGTGCAAAGATTGAGCGTAACAGGTTGTTCGGTGTGATATAGCTAGCTGCTGCCATGCCACGTGCCTAGCGCCTGCAAAGCTGGTGTGAACATGCCGAAGGGCGGTTGTACCGGCTATACTGATACAGATTAAATTATTTCAAATGCTTCAAGTATGAAATGATGACAAAAATGTGCTAAATAAATGTCAATATCAAATTTCCTCATCCAGACTATTTCTTGTTTTGCCACCCTAAAATTGCATTGGATGTCTTTAATTCTGTTATACCATTTCTTGAACTCTAGGTTCCTGAAGCATTCCAACAACTTATAGACAAAGTAGAAAGAACCATGAAGTTCAGTATTGAGGAGGAAGAGGGCATCCCTGTGGACCAGGTAACAAACTTCGAGGAAGTTTGCAACGATATCAAGCGGAAGCTGGCGGAACTACGTGATACGCCATCACGACTGGAAAACCCCATCATCTACCATCTTGATGTCGGTGCCATGTACCCAAACATCATTCTAACTAACAGGCTACAGGTCAGCATATTACTGTTTACTTTATTATTTATTGCTTGTTAGCTGATGATGACAATATCAAAATTTAATGTACATTGGTAGGGAAAGACACAGTGTGCCCTCCCTGAATTTTGTCGTGTTTGTTACAACAAAGGACATTTGATTGTTTAGGTCTATCTACAATAAAAAAGAAGAATTCAGAGACCTCAGACTTCCATGAAATATTTAAATCCTTTGTGATGGTGACTATGACACACATACCAAAAAAAACAATACCTTCGTTTTTCATGGAGGTAATAACAAACGTTAGAAACATCACTCAAAGTTACACTCCTATCTCTCCTGTATAGTACAGTAAGGCCATGGTGATTTGATTATATGGATGACATCCTCCGGGAGCCCCAAAACTGATGCGCGCGTGCGAATAAAAAAAAAGTTTTGCGAAAAAAAAAGTTCTTTTCATTATGAAATCTACGTGGTCATCAGGCTTTTAGCTAGGGGGTGTCCAGGGTGTCTTTTGGACGCCCTGTACTGAAAATAATAAGAAATTGGACGCCCTACTTTTTTGTAGGACACCCTAAAGACGCCCTATTTTTTCCACTCCCAACCCTTGCCATGCACACATGCCTCCCTTCAGCCTTACTATAAATACAAAAATGATGGTTTACTGAAGGAAAAAACTCAAATTTACACCTGAAAATGCAGAAAGTAGTGTTTGAGAGCATTATGAATTTCAAAAAAGCCCCCCTAAAATCTTGCACTCAGCACGTCTGCACTGTGCATAGCATACAATAAAGAAAATGGACACCCACCAAAAAAATCCTAGCTAAAAGCCTGGTGGTCATGAGGGTTGAACAAATGGCACAGAATATGGTTTGGCGAATAATCTAATCTTCAAGGTCATTTCTTTACAATTTCATCTTTTTCGTTTGATTTTGGCATTCTACGACATTGGTATAGTTTTTATTAATTTTTTTTGTAACTTATGGTATATTTTTGCTCATTTTGCAACTGTTTTGTACGATTTACAGTATGGTTGAAAACTTTTTTTTTGGGAAACGGCCGAAAATTCATGCGCGCGCGGATGTCATCCATATAATCAAATCAACATGGCCTAACTGTTGTACAATAGAGGAAACCAAGGACCAATGCTGATAGACACAATGAAACAGACTGAATCTTCTATGCAGTATTTATCAAAATGAATGATAGATTATGATGTTTTTTCCAGCCGTCAGCCATGGTGGATGAAGTGACGTGTGCAGCCTGTGACTTTAACAAACCTGGTGCCACCTGTCAGCGCAAGATGGAATGGACATGGAGGGGAGAGTACAGTAAGCAAAAGTAGCACATCGGCAGAATTTACTACTAATATGCCTGTGCAAAACCCCTAATATATTGTGTATAGCACTTCAGCAGAACAACTTGTATTTGTGTATTTAATTAAGGGTGACTTCCCATCTATACCGCTAGTTTTTAAATGTTATATGAGAAAGTTTATAGTCTGCCACAGGCCAAATTCTCATATAACTTTAACTAAACATCAGACAAAAACGTAACATACCCCTTTAACGAAGTGCAATGTTTTGTAATTCTCAGTGCCAGCTAGTCGCAACGAGTACCACCGCATCCAGCAACAGTTAGAACACGAGCAGTTCCCCCCGTTCAAACCCGGCGGGCGCCAGCGTGCGTTCCACGAACTCACCAAGGAAGAACAGGCCGGCGCCGAGAAAAAACGACTTGCTGACTATTGCAAGAAAGCCTACAAGAAGGTCCACGTAACACGAGTCGAAGACCGCGAGACGACAATCTGCCAACGAGAGAACTCCTTCTACGTAGACACGGTACGGGCGTTCCGCGACCGGAGGTACGAGTTTAAGGGGCTTCTTAAGGTGTGGAAGAAGAAGGTAGCCGAGGCCCTTAAGAAAGGTGAAGCCGCAGACATCAAGAGAGCGAAGGGGATGGAGATTCTGTATGACTCCCTACAGCTGGCACATAAGTGTATTCTCAACTCTTTCTACGGATATGTCATGAGGAAAGGGTAAGTTTTTCTGTTTTTCTTCTGACAAGGCCTAGGAAAAAATCTGTTTCCTGTTTCCCAACCAAACCTAGAAAACTGCCCATGCTAGCCTTTTTTTTGTAGACACCTGCAACAGACATAAATTTTTCAAACTGATTGACAATTTCTAGCTCCATGATCTAACACTAATAAGACGTTGAACTGCCCCCTTGCAGTGCACGTTGGTACTCCATGGAGATGGCAGGTATTGTGTGCCTGACTGGAGCCAGGATCATCACCCAGGCCAGGGAACTCGTGGAGCAGATTGGGTTAGACTCACCTCTCCTCTCTTACACTATTCACTGTACCTTACTGAGGTCATGCCAATTTGACGAATTTTGTCTAACATGTGTGTCTGTAAGAAAGTAGTGTTCTGTTTGGAACTCCAGGACATGGGAAGTACTCAAGTAGAGAACTTCTTTCAGCTAGCTTCAAAATTTAAAAAAATACACCACAAACATTTTTCATAATTTTAAGCTGTGGACTGAGTGCTTGGGAGTTCAAATCCCACTGTTGTCGCTCACCCGACATGCACGCTTCTACTAGCAGTCGCAGTCCTTAGGACGGGACGTTAAGCCGTGGTCCACTGTTCATTATCATAAAGAGCTAGGCGGAATTTCCCTGGTACAATGAACCTGTAAATACTGTACATAGCATGTACAGTCGAAAATTTGGGTATTAGTCCAATTCTTTGTGTCGGAAATTGCATACATTTTCTTTTTTTTTGTAGACGACCCCTTGAGTTGGACACAGACGGAATCTGGTGTATCCTCCCAGCTAGTTTCCCAGAGAACTACATCATCCACACCACAAACACCAAGAAACCCAAAGTCACCATCTCCTATCCTGGAGCAATGTTAAACATACAGGTTAAAGATGACTTCACCAACCACCAGTACCAGGAGCTGGTCAACCCTGCAACGTTACAGTACCAGCAGCGCAGCGAGAACTCCATCTTCTTCGAGGTTTGTTTGTTTGTTTTAAATAATTGGTAAACTGCCTTTTGGTGTAAAACATGAGTGAGTGAGTCAGTGAGTGAGAGTAGGTGGGTATGCTTATGGATGGATGGATGGATGGATGGATGGATGGATGGATGGATGGATGGATGGATGGATGGATGGATGGAGTTGAAGCAATACTATCAAAAATGTATATCGACATTCATGGAGCAAAAATTGTGACGGAAAACAGTTACCTGGGCTGATTTTTGGGGTGCCACCCAGAAAATAAAGGAATCATCTTTGGGGATTTTTCCGTGCTGTTCTAAATGCCCAAAGTAGAAAATAATGATGCAAATGTGCTATTGTGGAGCAGTACAAAATGCATGTATCAATATCACACAGATTCCCTTTTGTTTTGCTGCCCTGAAATTGCAATAGATGCCTTTAAATTAAAGTGCTTCAAAACATAGGTTCTAGGGATTCGAACCCAGAACCTTTACTCCACAATACTAACTACAGTACCCCCTTGCCACCTAGGTTGATGGACCGTACTTGGCCATGGTGTTACCAGCATCCAAAGAAGAAGGTAAGAAGCTGAAGAAGAGGTACGCTGTGTTCAACTTCGACGGCACGCTGGCAGAACTGAAGGGTTTCGAGGTGAAGAGACGAGGCGAGCTTCAGCTGATCAAGATTTTCCAGTCGTCTGTGTTTGAGTCGTTCCTGAAGGGGTCAACGCTGGAGGATTGCTACGCCTCCGTTGCCACGGTAGCAGACTACTGGCTAGACGTGTTGTTCAGCAAGGTAAGTATCAAAACCAGTTTGGAACCTTTTTTTTTTAAATTATACATTAGACATTTGCTACCAGATACCTTTGACCCAGTGTTGACGTCACACTTCAAAGAAGCCACGTGACAAGCCTCACTGGCTCAGTCTACTGAGGAAGACCAGAGTGACTGGTCGAAAGCTCTAGGTGAGAGAATCTTTTGTGTTGGACCAAAAGTTTTAACTTTAAACATTAGACATTTGTGTTTTCATCATTGCACTTCTAGAAAAAAGTTACAGTACAGATATCAGATAGCATCCCATCTACACATCGCTCTCAAAAGGCATGCAAAATCTGTGCATTTCTTGACTAAAATGTGTACAGAAGCTGTTTGTTTCTCATGTAAAATGAGTGTGGATGTTCATGTTATCATGTGTGGTTATGTGTTGTACATGTACAGCCAGAAAGAATTGCACCTATTCCCAAAAATGATTTTTTTGAGCCCTGTAACCCTGATATATATCTGTTGTTTTCCTAGGCTTGTGACATGCCGGATGAAGAGTTGTTTAACCTGATCTCGGAGAACCGCAGCATGTCCCGTAAACTTGAGGACTACGGTGAACAGAAGTCTACTTCTATCAGTACTGCCAAGAGGCTGGCAGAGGTTAGTACTACCTTGTTCTATATAAAATGTCATTCAGTCAGACCCGGTGTCAACAGCATGTCGGCAGGACCCTGATTTTTGGATGATTTTTGTTCATTGTTTGGTCAAGGTTCTGCACTGTTACCAAGCTTAAGAGCTAGAATAATTCATTTCTGTGACTCTAGCACCCCTTTCATAGTTGTTCATACAGAATCTTGCAGCTTGGTTCTGTACCCTTTCCACTTTGTCTTTGTACACATGTATATGGATCCCATACTGTCGCAGCATATTCTAGGTTCAGTCTTACAAGCGACGTGTAAGCTAGTGGGCATGCCCACAGATTACTTTTGATTACTCCCAATGTCTGTTTAGCTTTAGCTGTGATATTGTTAGATTAAGATTGTGAGATTGTTAGAATGTTATACATTGAAACATTGTACTGTAATGTGACATGATGTTAGAACGTTGTTGGTCCATGTTCCAGTTCCTGGGAGACCAGATGGTGAAAGACAAGGGTCTGAGCTGTCGGTTCATCATCTCCAGAAAACCTGAGGGTGCTCCTGTCACTGAGAGGTCAGCACAACACATTCAAAATCTTTTCTTGTCATATGGCCACACTGACCTAATCTCTGAAGACCCCCCCCCCCAAACTAGTGCGCGTGGGAGAATAAAAAGGTTTCAGATAAGAAAGAAATGCTGCTAAACCACAGGAATACAATTAAAGCTAATGGTAGTTATGAATTTGCTGTAGTACATAGCGACTTTTACGACAAGCCAGCACATGCCAGCTTTTTGCAGCTTTCTGAAATCTAATATTTCTTGTTGTCCAGTGCTGTACTATATTACATTATACATAACATTTTACTTTGAAATCTCATTTCACTGTTAGAGCCATCCCACTGGCCATCTTCCAGGCTGAGCCCAGTGTGAAGAAACACTACCTGAAGAAGTGGCTCAAGTCCAACTCCATCACTGACTTTGACATCAGAAATGTGAGTATTGTACTTCTGGGATGGAAGTATCGTTTTGAGCGGCACTGGTTTAGGGGAGTTTGTATGTATCTCATTCTTAGCAGCAAGGATTGGAAGTGAGTGGACAGAGATTGGGTTCTGTTGATTGACTGGGTTGTAGGATGATGTGGTATGAGGTTGTCAGGAATGTGTACTGTGTAATCATGGTATAATATGAGACCACTTGCACATTAAGAACTACTGAAAAGTATCAAGCTCCCCATTGTATGTAGCTCCAAGCTCCAAACTTTAGCAATGTCCGTTTGGTAATGCTGTATCTTTTCCTCAGATCCTGGACTGGGGCTACTACATAGAGAGGCTGGGAAACACCATTCAGAAGATCATCACCATCCCGGCAGCACTGCAACAGGTTAGTGTCACATCCTGCAGTTCAACTGTCAACTGCTAGGTGGTGCTTGCATGTGGTCTTTAGAAAGAAAATTTAATGATGATGAACAGCCAATCAGCTTTCTTGACACATCCACCTACAGGTGAAGAACCCAGTGCCCAGAGTCGCTCACCCTGATTGGCTTCACAAGAAGCTCCTGGAGAAGAATGATGTCTTCAAGCAACAGCGAATCAGCGAGATGTTTGCTCCTCTTCCGAAGAAAAGGATACAGGTAGGTTTTAAAACCTTAATTATTATAGGCTTAATCTTCAAAATGACCTTAGACTTTACCATAGTGTGCTTGGAAATTTCTTGAAGTTTTCTTGGAAGCATTTGGAAGTTTGAACAAGAAAAACTCAGTCGTCTTGAGTACAAAGCTTACTTTAGGCTTTTTTTCCACAGTGGCATGTTAAAATTTGTACTTGTAATGGGTTTAGGCAGCAGGGAAATGGTTCTAGCTATTTAAGGGTGGTACCAAAAAATAAAGGGACTCCTCACATGGCTGTTTCTTACCTGTTTGAAATACTTCAAGTATGATTATATTAATGATGATGAAAATGTGCTAAGAAATGACAGTAAATGTTAATATGAGACAGATTTCCTTATCTAGAATACTTATATTGGTGGCCTCAAATTGTATTTGATACCTTTAGGCCACACCAATTTAATTTCTTGGTTAACGGATTCGCCGCTTCATTTTTTTCTGATTTGCAAATAAAAAGAAAAATCCAGAATCAACTGTAAAATGCCCATATTTTGCCCTCAACAGTTGAAAACAGACCTTTTCATCCTAGTTGTTACAGTTATTCCATCTTTCAATGCAATGGTATCATTAAAAGTTCAAAATTCATTGTTTAAATTTTGAACCAGCCTAGTGTGTTGACTTCATGACTCCTATCGTACCATTTTGGGCCATAATTGGATGCCTAGGCCTGTTTTTATTTTTGTATTTTTTCGCCCGCCCGCTCCATTATTTTTCTAGAAAAATCCGTTAACCAAGAAATTAAATTGGTGTGGCCTTAAGTGCCTTTATATATATATAAAGTATATATATATATATACATAGGAGGAGGATACTGCATTTGAAGATGGTGACAACAGTAACGATGGTACAAGTAACAACATAGCAGACATGGAGGACATGGCTGGTCCCAGGACGACCGGTCACGGCGTAACGGTCGCGGTGTCGAACAAGCGCAAACGGGACAGCGGTGACGACAGGGTCGGCCAATCACAGGAGGACCTGGAACTCACGCAGTCGTGGCGGGAAATTCTCGGACCTCCGCCACCGCTGGGAAACACAAGGGTTTGTTTGAAACATTCAGTACATCTAAATAGGTTTAAACAATTACCTGTTAATGTACCACACTATACAATTGCACACGAAAGGCAATGGAGGATGAAATACACTCTAGTTTCAGTTGTTTGTTCTTCATTTCGAACATGCTTTCTGCAAATACACAATTCTTATATCATATTAAGGCTGGACCTAAACCCATGATATATTGCACGTATTGAAACATTTTACATGCAATTTAAAAAATACTTGCAAAAGTGTATTACATGTATAGAGTCAGTAGTAAACCCAAAATTTGAAGCTCTCAAACAATATTATCCCAAACCATGAAACCCCTAGCCTATTTTTTTATTTATCAGACTGCAAGATTGCAGGTTGCTGAATATTTCCTCTGCAATCATATTGAATATATTATCCCTGCAAAAATGCAGACTGCAGATGGGTATTAAATTTTCTAACACTGACTTCTTTACCCAATCATAATCATAGGAAGAGAAACTAAAGTGGCTTGACTACCACAAGAGGAAGTGGAAGCTGCAAGCGAAGCAGCGTGATGCGAGAAAGCGCCAGGACAAACGGCGTAGACTGGACGACGGCGAGACGTCCGGCGCCGTCATCAGGAGCAGACCAACCACAGGGCTCGGGGGGTTCCTCCGCAAGACCGCTCGCTCTATGATGGACATGCCCTGGCAGATCGTACAGGTAAACACTTTCGGTTTTCTTTCATTTTTTTCTTTACCAAAAGAAAACATATTGTTTTTGCTCAGTTTCCCCTTCTTCCATTCCAAACCAATAAGGTCAATGACCTGAACCAGACGTCTGTCATCATGGTAACTGGTGTTGGGTTACATCATGTTGCAATTTTATAGCAGGAGGGATTTAGACTCCTGTCTGACCATTTATATATGAATGTGTTTGAGTAAGAATTAACAGAGCAGACCATATGTGAAGGTAATTATACCTGCACACTCCCTATTTGGGTATATCGTTTACCTTATGCAGTATTTCCTATGCTTATCGCTAGGTGGCGCACGTGTACAAAGCTTTAATCGCAAAGCATCACGGGATATCATGACGTAATGACTATGTTCGCCGCCATTTTCCTTGTGCGAACGCCAAGGGGTGCACGTTGTTTCCCTACTCCTTATTTTTTCGGATTTTCTTTCGGCGTTATGCCCAAAAAGAAGGATAAAACGAAGTCTTCTGCCCACGGGGGCGATTCAGGTAGCCTTTCGGAGGACCAGACAGGTCGGAATGGCAAGAGAAGTGGTCAGTTTCCCAACGCTAGGCAGGCAAAATTCCTTGCCGTGGAAAAGACAGGCGTGCCTGCACTTGCCTCCGGACAGGAGGAAGAGGAGTCGGGTGAACGAAAAGTCCCCGCTCCTACAGCTGGAGGTTCGGAGGGAAAAGAGAAGAACTCCAACCTCATTCCGCCGCTTGTGGAGCGAAATGCCCCTTCGGCGTTGGCACTGGGAAAATCGGTCAAGGAAGGAGACGGCGCGGAGCTGCCCCGGCCCAAAATTCCTCCGGGCTCGGAGGAGTTGGGCTCCCCGACCATGCCGAAGCTTGGTCGGGAAAAGTCTCCTCCACCCCCACCTCCACCAGGAACACCCTTCCCGCCTGGATTCGACGCTGCCTCTTTTCTTCAGTGGGTCAGTTCCAGCCTGGGACTTCCTCAGGCGTCCAGTTCATCCCGCCAACCTCGGGACGTTGACGGGGCGGTAGCGTCGACCAGCCGAGCCGGCGTAGTCGGTTCCGGGCGCAAGCATCCAGGTTCGGAAGTGGAAGAGTGTTCGGAGGAGGGGGAAATCACCATTTCGGACTCTGAAGAGTCTGATGAAGGTACTAGTAACTCCTTGTCATTCGATAATCCTTACGATAAGAAAGGGAAAGAATCTGAACTTCCCGAGCAAGTCGCTACATTTTTGACCGAGGTCTTTACTCATAAATTAACGTATGCGGAGTTCAAGGAGAGGAAGGAAGCTTTTCCAACTCCACCTAGCGTGGAGTTAGCGCTTCGGGCACCCATTCTAGACCCAGTAGTGGCGAATATGATTAAGAACGACACCGTCAACACGGATAAGAATTTTAGTGATTGTCAGGATAAGATGCTCATGGCTGCTAACCCTCTGGTGGAGCTTTTAGCGGCAGTTAAGGGTTCGGACCATCCCCTGAACCCAAATGCTGTGTGTAAAGCGATAGAATCGTCCTTGGTCTTTTTGGGTTCAGCTTCCTCTACTATGACTCAGTACAGAAGGGAATTGTGCGGCAGGGACATGAAACAGGATATGAAGCATGTTTTCAAGACCGACTTGCCCACTGGTTCTTCCAAATACTTGTTTGGAGACACCTTTTTGGAGAAGGTTAATACAGCCGATCAGGCTAGACGCACCTTGAGTAAGGCTTATAAGCCAGCCCCTTCGAGTACTTCTAGGGCTAGGGACAGGTTTCAGTCCAACCGCTCGAAGTTTAACTATAACTACAACAAGTACTCCTCAAACTCAAAGGGTTACAATTTTCGTCCCTACTATAACAACAACAACAACTACAACAATGCTAGACCATGGTCAAATGCCGGGGGTAAGAAAACCTCGGGGTTTCGTTCAGCGCAGGGCACAAAAGGCCCAAACAAACAGTAGCTCTTCCTCGTCATCAGACTCTGCTCTGTTCTCCGGTTCAGCACGCAGGGCGAACAGCTTTTTTCATGAAAAACTGGGAAAGGATTTCAACAGACAGATGGCTTTTGCAAACAGTTCGGGGTTACCGTATAGAATGGGAGTCCACTCCAGTTCAGTTCGTTCAGCCGGTCACAAATATATCTGGGGAGGACAGAGCAAAGGTTGTAGACGAGGAAGTGCACAGTATGTTGGAGAAAGGTGCAGTGGTCCAGGTGGAGCCCTGCGAGGGCCAATATGTTTCTACGATTTTCCTAGTCCCGAAAGCTCGGGGAGGCTGGAGACCGGTTATAAACCTAAAGTCTTTAAACAAGTTTGTTCTGAAACGTACTTGCAAGTTCGAAGGGATAAACCTAGTCAAAGAGTTGTGGAAAAAAGGAGATTTTCTAGCAACTATAGATCTAAAGGATGCGTACTTTACCATCCCAATAGCTCAGAGCGATCGAAAATTCCTTCGTTTTTCGTGGAGAGGAGTTCTTTGGGAATTTCAGTGTCTTCCCTTCGGTCTGACGTCGGCGCCGAGGGTATTTACCAAGGTTTTGCGGCCGATTGTGGCCATTCTAAGGAGACAAGGATTGTTAATAGTAATTTTCCTAGACGACTTACTGATCATTGCAAGGTCGAGGGAACAGTGCTTAGAGCACATTGCTATAGCCAGAGAGCTTCTAGAGCAACTCGGTTTTGTTCTCAACCTGGAAAAGTCGCAGTTGATACCGTCTCAGGTAGCGACCTTCCTAGGCCTTGTTCTCGATTCTCGTACTTTGACAATTTACCTACCAGAAGACAAGTTAGACAAGGTAGTGAGTTCTTGCCAATCACTTCTAGAACAGGAGGTGATAGGAACCAGGCAGCTAGCCAGCGTGGTGGGGCTGTTAGAGTCCACCAAGCAAGCCATTCTTCCCGGGCCCTTACATTTCCGGGCTCTGCAACAGCTTCTCAATTTCGGCATAAAGAAGCCGGGAAAATTCGACTCTTCAGTCAGTCTAACCCCAGATGCAGTAAAAGATCTACAGTGGTGGATCAGTCATGTGCGCGAAGTAAACGGTCGCCGAGTCTTTGTTCCGTCAGACCTGACAATTTGCACAGATGCCTCACTGGAGGGATGGGGCGCGCATTGCAATGGTCAGGAGACAGGCGGGCGCTGGTCACAGACAGAAGCGCGCATGCACATCAATTGGCTAGAGTTGAAAGCGGCCTTCCTGGCGCTAAGAAGCTTTGTGAGCGCGGATACTCAGCATGTTCTGCTAAGGCTGGACAACACAACAGCCGTTGCATATGTGAATCACATGGGGGGAACAAGGTCGCCAGATCTGGCAGCCTTGGCCCTGGAGATGTGGTCGTGGGCCTTGGAAAGAGGCCTGATGTTGTCTGCAACTCACGTTCCCGGATTGACAAACACCCTAGCGGACAGGTGTTCGCGGGTTTTTCTGGACAAGGTCGAGTGGCAACTGAACCGCTCAGTTTTCCTGTCATTGAACAATTGGACAGGCAATGCATTGACAGTAGATCTGTTTGCGTCTCGTCTGAATGCTCAGCTGAAGGAGTATGTCTCTTGGCACCCAGAACCAGAGGCCATGGCAGTGGATGCTCTAAACATTCACTGGGGCAACCTGGGGCTAGCGTATGCCTTTCCCCCCTTCAGCCTAGTGTTCAAGGTACTGAGAAAAGTCCAGTCAGACGTAGCAACAGTGATTTTGATAGCTCCAGTTTGGAAGTCTCAGGCTTGGTACCCCAAGGTGTTGAACATGTTGTTCGAGAGTCCGGTTCTCCTGCCACAGAGCTGGGATCTGCTGTTCCTGCCACACAACAGGAGACCCCATCCGCTGTTGCCAGATCTGATGCTTGCCGCGTGGCCAATATCAGGCGACAGTTGCAGGGTCGGGGCCTTTCGGCAGGGGCTTCAGACCTCATCCTCTCGGCTTGGAGAGAAAGTACTTCTAGACAGTATCAGTCAGCATGGGCTCAGTGGGCCAGCTGGTGTGATAGAAGGGAGATTGATCCAGTTTGCGGCTCTATAGAGAGCGTAGTAGAATATCTTGAATGGATGTTCCGACAGAACTACTGCTATACATTGTATGTCAATTGGGGTGGCTCGTTCTGCGATCTCGTCTGTACACTTACCAGTAGACCATTGTAATGTGGGTAGTCACCCTCTAGTGTCCAAACTGATGAGAGGTCTGTTTCACAAACGTCCTCCTTGTCCAAGATATGTTTCAACATGGGACGTCAGTCGGGTCCTAGAGTACCTTCTGCATTGTTGCCAAGCTAATAGTCTTAGTTTGAAACAGCTGTTTCATAAGTTGGTAACACTAGCGGCATTGGTGTCAGCCGACAGGGGTCAGACTTTAGCGGCTCTTGACTTGAGATTCATGAAAAAATGTAGAAACGGTGTTTCTTGGACAATTCCTACCCTGCTAAAAACTTCTAGACCAGGAAAACCTGCCAGAAAGTGTTTTTGGGCGGCCTTCCCGCAGGACAGGCGCTTGTGTGCCTTCACATACCTGAAGGAATATCTAAGGCGGACTTCTTCCCTTCGGAAAGAAAGGGGGGGGGAGCAGAAGTTGTTCATATCATACAGGAGACCACACAGGCCGGTTGGTTCTGCGACCCTGGCCAGGTGGGTTAAGTCAGTGTTAGGCACGGCAGGTGTCGACACAGCAACTTTCTCAGCTCACTCCACTCGAGGAGCGTCCACTTCAGCTGCTGCAGCTGCCGGGGTGTCTCTACATAGCATCATGAAGGCAGCGGACTGGTCACGAGAGTCTACCTCCCTGAAGTACTACAGGAGGGACAACAACCAACACACGTTTGGCCAGGCTGTGCTGTCCACGGCTCTGAAGTCTGCATAAGGTAAACGATATACCCAAATAGGGAGTGTGCAGGTATAATTGAGGATTAGGCAAATTGTACTTACCATGAAGGATAATCCCAATTATACCTCACACGAACTATTTGGGTATATCTTCCCACCCTTGCTGTTCTCAGCTTCCAAGTAGCTGAGAATGCCCACCCATGGTGAACAGCACAGACTCTTTCTCGCACGTCGTCAAATGGCGGCGAACATAGTCATTACGTCATGATATCCCGTGATGCTTTGCGATTAAAGCTTTGTACACGTGCGCCACCTAGCGATAAGCATAGGAAATACTGCATAAGGTAAACGATATACCCAAATAGTTCGTGTGAGGTATAATTGGGATTATCCTTCATGGTAAGTACAATTTGCCTAATCCTCAAATATTAAGCATTTGCTTTGCAAATGTTACCTTTCTAGTTCTTAATATTTTGTTCCACCTGCTAAAATTCAGTTGATGGAGACAGACACCCCGGGACAGTTCAAACTCTGGGCCCTGATTGGTAGCGACCTGCATGCCATCCGCCTGAACGTGCCGCGGATATTCTACGTGAACCAGCGCGTGCCAAAGGAGGACAGTGAGGGCGGAGTGTGGCGGAAAGCCAACCGTACCCTCCCCAGGTCCAACCCTGTCTATAACCTGTATGAGTACTCTGTACCTGAAGAAACGTACAGGTGGGTTTTCATTGAATTTCCATGGCTTGAAATTTTTTCCCTGTGAATTAGGTTCAGCGGGTGGGTAAGTCACTGACATTTTGGTGACCGGGTGTCAACTTTCTTAGGGCAATTCTGAATGGTTCACATTGCATAGCACAGGTGTCACTGCTGTAGATGCATTCCTAACTGCAACGTACATGTACATGTATGTGTGTTGCACATACATGTATATAGTATATTACACAGCTAAAAGCTGTTCAGAAACTTGCCATTAAACCTAGTTGAGCAGGCACCTAGAGTGTAGCCGGGCTACTGCAGTCACCAGCCACATTAAATTTTTAAAACAGTCCAGTCCAATTTTACAAAGCCACTTTTGTCATTCAGACCTACTCTCAGCAGCCATACATTAAATACAATTTCCTTTTACAGTACCAATTTATTTACGAAGACCCAAAACTACTTTCTAGAAGTCTGAAAACTCTTGTTTCGATATTGACAATTTGAGGCCGTTTTTTTTTCCAGGGAGCACATGAATGAGATTACAGCTGACCTGTCTGCACCTGAAGTGGAGGGAGTTTACGAGACCCAGGTCCCACTGACCTTCCGAGCACTGGTCAGACTGGGCTGCATCGCAATGGTCAACAGACAATATGCCAGGTAAGTCAGTGTAAACCAAGAAGGATCATGACTGTGGTGGAATGGTTGATTCAGAACCTTTAGGTCCTGGGTTCGAATCCTCCAAAATTCCCCAATGTTGTGCTCTTGGGAAATGCACATAACATTCCTCACTTCACTCAGGTTAAAATTAGAAGAGAAGCCAAGAGGGAATGATTCTTCTCTCTTTCTGAAGGTGGTAACAGTGTTAACAGTAATATGCACTGGTTAGTACATTTTGTAGCCCTACATCTGGACCAAATGATCGTAAGTTCAAATCCTGGATGTTGTTGCTCAACATGTATAAATGCACGCTACTGGTTAAGGGTTGCAGTCCTTAGGACATGACCTTAATCCATGGTCCACTAGCATACTGATCATTGCACTTGTCAAAAAAGCACTAAAGGAATTTCTCTTATCCCATATACTGTATGCTGATATTTGTGAGGCAAAAATGTTACATGTATGTTTGTTACAGAAAAATGTTGCTTGTTTCGTATTGTTGGCTCATTCTAGCTACACTGTATTTGTTGGTGGTACCAAAAAATAAAGGGACTCCTCATGTAGCTTGTTTTTTAGTTTAAATTCTTCAAGTATGGAATGATGCCGAAAATGTGCTAAGAAATGGCAGTAAATGTCAATATTAGACAGATTTCCTCTTTCAGAATATTTTTTGTTTTGCTACCCTGAAATTGCATTGGGTGCATCTAATAGTACAAGAATTCTGGAAACTTCATTGTTTCTCTTTGTAGATACCTGAGAGACAGAGACATGGACAACTTTGACCTTGAACACCTGGAGTTCAAGACGGTGGCTCAAGTGGGGACATACCTACCTCCTGGGTGTATGCGCCATGTCTTCTTGTACCACAACATGTCCCACCAGAAAGCCATGTTTGGTAGGTTTCCCTTTTAATTTTTTGTACTTTCATTTTCCCAATTTTTACCCCCTTGTATGAAGTGTCATTACTTGTGTTGCTGTTCTTATTTCTACATGCTCTAGGCACATTTGGGACACAGATCTAGAAAGGAAGTTAGGTCAAGGGTCCCAGAAATGGTTATTTCACTTCCGGTCTTCAATTTCCTGCTATATGCATGTCTGTAAAGCAATTACGTCAAACCCTCTGTAAGTTATAGCTGTGAACACACAAACACGACCAAAGCCTTGCAGATTCATCCATAGTCTTGTACATGTATATACGGTATGTACAATTCTTTTGTACCCATGTGTCTGTATGTTTAGTAACTGTTGTCTACCCTACAAAAGCCAAAGTGACTACACTTTTTTTTTGTTACTGAAGTTCTTCTAAACTGTGTATTTCAGGAGTGTTTTTCCCGATGGCTGGCCGTGCTGCAGTGTTTGTACTGGACACAGTCCGCAGTAACCAGATGCCAAACCTATCCGCCATGCTGCAAGCCGAGTGCAATGCCAGGTCACTACTTGTCCTATAGAAATGTTTTATTTTATTTTATTAGAGTTGTGTAATACATGTGGGACACAGGCAGCTATTACTGGTGTTGTGACCCACACAAAAGACTTACATTTGTAACTGAACACATACATAGCAGCTACATACAGTGGCAAAAAGCATTACTCCAGTCAGAAGCTTTGACTGAGGAATAAGTCTAATAGACATGGAAAATTGAGCCAGGTGAGAGAATTAGAAATGTACTGGATGTGAATAAGAAAATCCCTTTTTTGTGTGTGTTTTTTTCCTGTAGGCTTGCCAAGGGTACAGAGGAGGGCCTGTTGCCATTGTCAGAGCACCAGTTTGAAGTAAAGTGTGAAACAGATGCACAGAAGATCTACAAGGCCATACAGAGGATGCTCAGGGCATACAAGGTAACCAATGGAAGTAGAAGGATTTTTCCTAAACATGCAACAAATTTTAATGTAGTATACACTGGACATCTTACATTGAACACAAACCTCAACGACGCTAGGCCGCTGAAGTTCTGAAGAACTTAAGAACTCAGTACAGTGCCAAACTGCTAACTGCCGCAAAAGGCCAGCATGTGCCGGCTTGTCGTAAAACTCACTAGTACATGTATGTACTACTGCAAAGTCACAATACCAGCTTTGTATTCTTGTGGAATTGCAGCATTTTTGGGGGGCTGGAATTTGCCAGCGCGCACTAGTTTAGGGGTCTTCAAAGGATGTCATCCATAATAAATATTTAATTAAGTCAGTGTGGCCTGAACTTAAAGTTGTCATTCAATGTACCTTTAAACACTTTTGGGTACAAAATGTAGGATGAGACCATAACTTGGTAAACCACTTTGTTTGTTTGTTTGTTTGTTTGTTTGTGTAGGATGAGAAGAGAGGTCCAACCCTGATGGCTGTCCAGTCTCCCTATGACCTTCAGCACCTGGTGACAGCCATGCCAGGACTGGATGACTTCCCTCTGGTACAGATGCACGCCTCTGAACCTGACAACCTGTTCTCTGTCCTGGACTGGCAGAGACAGGTCTCTCGCAGGTACTGTACTAAAACTTATTTTTGTGGTGATTATGAAACAGCACAAGAAATTGGACTTACCTTAATGTTCAACTGTACAACTCCAGTCTTTGTCAAGGAATGAGCAATCCACCGCTTCCGTGACGTCATGCAGATAAAACATGTGACTCAGTTAGCAGTGGATCATACACGTAGGTTGCAGAAAGTCTGTGGCGCCCCCCGTCTCTGTTGAGGGATGGTTGTAATGCCCTGATGTAGATGGCCTTCTTACTTTTGTATTGGTTTTATTTTGTGCTAGGAGTGTAAGGCTGTCATGAAAGTTCATCTGTGTTGGTAGTAATCTGTGTTGGTACAGTGTAGTTACATGTATAAAGTTAAAACTTTTGATCCAACACAAGGTAAATTTTCCCACCTAGAGCTTTCGGACTGTTCCTCTGGTCTTCCTCGGTAGACTGACCCAAAGAGACTAGTCACAATCCATGGAGATGCAGAAGAAAGAAAGTTGACAAATTATTTGTTTGCGGTAATGATAAATTCATGGGACAGCTGTGACCGCGAAAACCATAAAAGTACCGCAAATATGTGTTAAAAAAAGAATCATTCTGCATCTTCTTTCCCGCAGAATGCTTCAACACTATGTGTACATGGAGACTAGGCTGCAACACTTGACGGAGTTGGCTGCGTACTTCCACGTGCCTGTCGGTAACCTCCCACAGGACACCAGCCTGTTCGGTGCAGACCTGTTCTTCGCTCGCCACTTACAGGTAAGAGTACACAGTTTTCGCCCTATAGGGATTTCTATAGTTAAGGAGAACAAAGTGAGAGGGTTTGACACTATAAAATTTACAGTAGGGTGCACAAACAAGTTACAAAAATTCAATATGCTTGGGTTGAGGGTACATCCTACAAAATACTGTATGTGAAAATCAGCTCAAGTTTGCTGTGTCGTTTTCCCATGAAAATCACTTTTATTTGGCACTTTGAATGTGAACTGCAGCCGATACACACTGTACTAGGTCATTACAGGATCCAGGCCGAACAAGCATCCTGATTCAAATTATACGGTCTCAAACCCGATGTATTCCTCTCAAGTACTGTGCCTCACTACTTTATGCCCGGACTGCTTTTGACTACGGGGTTTGCCCATAAATACCGTGTTATGCAACCTTACAGAAACACAACCACCTGCTGTGGTGCTCGCCCAATGACAGGCCGGATCTGGGAGGGAAGGAGGCAGACGACAATAGGTGAACATTTTTGATGACACCTCAAACGTACTATAGTTACAATGAAATTTGTTGTTACATGTTTGATGACACCTCAAACGTACTATAGTTACAATGAAGTTGAAAATATTGTTGTTACATGTCCCAGAAAGGTACTGAAAGAGAAAAGCTAAATATCTTTTCCCTATCTTCTGAAATAAACAGTACTGTTCTTTTGTTGCCTTGTTGGATTCTTAGCAGTGTGAAAAAAATATTAGACAGAATTAGCAAGAAATTCACTATAATAATTAGAACAAGAAATAATCACAAAATATTTCAAGAAGGTGATTTCTTTTTTTTTTTAGGCTTGTGACAGAGTTTGAGGATGCCACTAGTGTGGAGCTGAACAACCCAGGCTGTTACCACACTGTGTGTGTGGAGTTAGAAATCTCCAACCTGGCTGTCAATACCATCCTACAGGTAACTTTGTTGGAGTGAAAGCTCATTTCTGTTGGTAGAATCCATAGTTGTAACATTCTAGGAGCTCACCATAAATTTTTGGACAATCTCGTCAACTGTCAATTTATAACTTTGTATTTGCTGGTACTTCATACTAGATACTTACCTCCTTCATGGAGGTTTGTTTACGTGGGGTGTTTGTTTGCTTGTGACTGTGAGTCGAGTCTCAGGAAGTGAGGGGGAATAGTGTTACCACAGAATGACAGGAAGGTCAAATTGGAGCTCAAAATGGTCTCCCTGCAGAAGAGGATGAACTCAGGAACAAAATGAAGGAGAGACAATACTCATCTGCTTGTAAAGATACATGTATGATACAGTACAGTTCTTACATTCTTGGAAGTCTAACATTTTGAATTTCTTGTTAAATTTTCCATCTCTTCTGTCAGTCCCAGCACATTAATGACATGGAGGGAGGAGCAGGGTCCAGTATCAGTTTTGACACCATCCAGCAGCCCTTCTTAGAGGAGATGATAGCAGGCCAGAACACTCCAGGTAAGGTGTAGCTACTCTTAACTATTAACTCAGAATCTAAAGGTTCTGGGTTTGAATTCCTGGCAGGCCCCACTGTTACAGTGTGTCCTTGGGAAAGGCACTTTACATCAATTTCCTTAAAACTGTGTTGGATATAAGAAAATGAGCACACCCAAAAATGCCATATTGGAAGATTAACATTGTGGTATATCATACATTGTAAGTTCACCATTTTCCTGTGTCTGACCATTTGACTTCTGGTCATTCTGCCTGCCAATCACCCACCCACATGCTGTCAACCTACACTGTCCAGAAAGACAAACACTGTCCAAACAAACAGACAAGCCCACCAAAACATTACAGAACAATGAAGTAATTGTCTCTTGTAGGAAGTTTTTGAGACAGGTTCAATTGAATGTACATGTATAGGGCTGAATATAGTTGCAAAATAAAAGAAATACATTTTGTAATACTATAACTGTTACAACATTGTCTATTTCCAACAGGAGCAAACCTGGCCAGCTATGATGAGACAGCTCTGTGCTCTGGAACGTTCCGTATCCTGAAGAGTATGGTGTACGGCTGGCTCCGGGATGTCACACAGTACAACAACGTCTATGCTGACTACCAGATCATGCAGTTCTACAGGTCTGCTCTACATTTTTTTTTTATTGTTGTGTTTATGTTTACCTTCCCAGAAGGGAAACGGTTATTTTGCACGGTCTCTACTTCTTCTCCAAACATGATATAAGGTTAATGACCTGGACCAGATGTCTGTCACCATGGTAACTTGTGCTATGGCGGAGGCTCTGTGGTGTGGGGTTACATCATGTGGCAAGACAGAGCTGCAAGGGCTGGTCACCATATACCACACTAAGTATAATATGCGAATATATGAAAATGTATTCATTAAGAATGAACAGAACAGTAGTTTGCAAACCATTGTGAAGGTAAACAAGTTTTTGCTTTTGCAAATGTGACCTTTCTACATTTGTAGACTAAGTGTAGTTTGACAACCTAGCTAGAAGCTTACAATGTAAATTTTACCTGCCTTTATGAAATATATTTTACAATTCCAGATGGCTGGGCACGCCGAGTGCGACCTTGTATGACCCTGCGTTACGCCGCACCCTACACACCATGATGAAGAAACTGTTCCTCCAGCTGGTCTCCGAGTTCAAGCGCCTCGGATCCATCGTGGTCTTCGCCAACTTCAACAAGATCGTGGTGTGCACGAAGAAGCGCCGCGTCGAGGATGCTCTGGCGTACGTCGAGTACATCACCAACAGTATCCGGTCGCGTGAGCTGTTCCATGGAGTGGACATCACCCCCCAGAAGTGCTGGGACATCCTCATGTGGCTGGATCCTGTGGGTCCCTTTGTTTTATGTTTAGTACAGAAAACATTGTTTTTGCTCAGTTCCCTCTTCTTCTTCTTCTCCAAACCAATAAGGTCAATGACCTGAACCATACATCTGTCACCATGGTAACTAGTGTTGGGTTACATCATGTTGCAATTTTATAGCAGGAGGGATTTAGACTCCTGTCACCATATATGAATGTTTGAGTAAAGGAGTTAAAACCTTGTGAAAAATGTATGGAAAGGGAAGTTAAGATCCGTACTAAAGATTGACTCGTACAAAAGTATACAATATAGATGCCAAGTGACTTTGTGCCAGTCTTTGTAACTTTTTAATGGTCTTGAATTTGCTTCCAGGCGAATCATGGAGGGATGAAGGCAGAAATCCCCAAGTCTTTCCTCCAAGGGGAGGAGGATGGACAGAATGGGGGAGAAGGGCAGGAGAAAGATGGAGAAGACGCTGAAGAGGAAGAAGAGAACAATGATCAGGAAGAGGAAGGTGTCAACCTCGCTGAGGAGGTAAATAGACCAGGGCTGTAGCCAGCACCCAATTTTCCTTTACCAGAAATTTGCAGTGTGTGACGGAAAAAATTTTCAAACAAATCCGTCAACCTTGACGGACAAATCAACAAAAGTTTCGGGTAAAAACATCCGAAGGACCATTGACAATCAATCACAACCCCATGATTTTCCTCTGAAAATGCAGAAATTGCATCTTTAAAGACATGCTACCCCGGAAATTTTGAAAATTGAACCTTCTGAAATGGCATTTCCTGCGTGAGTTTTTTTTTTAAGGATAAATTTTTCAAAGTGACAAAGTGAGTAGTCTTTCTAGTATTCCAACCCCGCTGGTGATATAAATCTTTAGATTTAGATAAAAAGTGGACCTTTCAGGCTTGTAAGAGGGTTCTTCCAAACCCCCCGAACCCCCCTTTCCCCGTCTACGGGCATGACCGATGATTATAGCATGTAATATAATATAGTAAGACAAAAGACAACTTTTGCTGTATCGTTCTGTAGGATGAAGATGATGAACAGCCTGTAGAGATGAACTGGAACCTGATGTACTATCTGCCTGAGGCAGCGGCCTGTCAGTACAACTTCAGCATGGTGGTGGCAGGATACATCTCCAACCTACACAAACACATGCAGGCTGAGAACAGGAGAGCCATGCCTGGGAACACTCCTGTCAGGAGGAGGTCAGGGTTTGTTTGTTTGTTTGTTTGTTTGTTTGTTTGTTTGTTTGTTTGTTTCACATCTCCAACCTACACAAATACATGCAGGCTGAGAACAGGAGAGCCATGCCTGGTAACACTCCTGTCAGGAGGAGGTCAGGGTTTGTTTGTTTGTTTGTTTGTTTGTTTGTTTGTTTGTTTGTTTGTTTGTTTGTTCTACATCTCAAAAAAAGTCAACACTCCTGTCAGGAGGAGGTCAGAGTTTGTTGGTTTGTTATGTTTACCGAAGGAAAACATTGTTTTTGCTACGTTTCCTCTTCTTCTCCAAACAAAAAAAGGTCAATGACCTGAACCAGACTGTTTGTTACCATGGTAATTACTAGTAGTGTTGGGTTACATCATGTTGCAATTTTATAGCAGGAGGGATTTAGACTCCTATCTGACCATATATGTATGAAATGTGTTTGAGTAAGAATTAACAGAGCAGACCTACAATGTAAGATATGCGATGGTAAACATTATGCATTTGCTTTGGAAATGTTACCTTTCTAGTTTTTGTTTGTTTTGCTTAATGGTTAGACCACCTTACACCAGATTTGCTTGTATGTAACAGTAAGTATAAGCTGCTTAAGATCAGACTGTAAAGTTTGATCCACTAAAGCTATCTTACCTAAGATCACAGCATTGGGGCTTGCTATGGATTCGAACCTAGAACTTTTAGATGCATTGTACTTTGGAAACTGGCATGAAACAGGAGTACAGAACAGTTTTGAATGGAGTTTTCTTATAACACAACCAAGTTTTTCTTAGTACATTTTTCGATAGCGTTTCTGTTCATTTATAGGGGTACAGTTAGTTACCGGCTACTTTTCACATGTCATACCGATGCTGTTCTTGCACAGAGGAGGCAGTCAGAGTCAGACCCAGGTAGGAGACTCCTCCACCACCCCCAGTACTGTCCACTATGCCCAGGAGCTGGTCGCTGGAGAGATGGCTCAGAAACTCTACGGAATCACTCAGGTACACAAAGATAATTAGATTTACCTTCATGCAATAAAAACACATTGCTTTTGCTTCCTTTCTTCTTCCTCAAAAAAACGATATGGCTTTGGTGAGTTCCTTTTCAATTTTTATGTTCACCTTCGCAGAAGGAAAGCATTATACAGTGTTTTTGCTTAGTTTCTACTTCTTCATCTTCCGTTCCAAACAATTAAAGTCAATGACCTGGACCAGATGTCTGTCACCATGGTAACTGGTGCTGTAGCAGACACCCTTTGATGTTGGGTTACATTATGTAGCAAACATTTCAGGGGCTGGTTACCATAAGAATAAATAGCAGCAGTTAGGCCAGGTCATGTGAAGGTACATCATGTAAACATTATGCATTTGCTTTGCAGAGTTACCTGTCCAGTGTTTTTTTTTTTTCTTTTTTTTGGGGGGGGGGGAGAGGAACTAATTCTAACAGTCACCAAAACGTCACTTGGTTGCATAAAAAAGTTTTTTTTTTAATCTCTGTTTCTTTCTGTGACAGAAAATCCACAAGAAGATAGCAGGAACCCGGAGTAGAACTGACCCAGCCGATGAGTTCCCAAGTCTGCCCGGCTCCCACCTACCGCTCAACAACCCTGCTCTGGAGTTTGTCAAGTCTATCTGCAAGGTACAGTCAAACATGCTTAAGATGACTACCCAGGGGACTGAGGAAAAGTGGTCTTCTTAGACAAGTGGTCCTCTAAGGCTTGATATACAAAAGCACAGAATTTAGGAAGTATGGGTCATGCTAAAAACTGTTCAGAAATCATTGTAGCTATTATTTCTTTGATACATAATAAGTTGCTACAGTCAATACAGGTAAAAGGAAATCCATAAACAGCTACATTTGTATGAGCCATGCCTTTGGACCAGTTCAGGTTAGGTGCAGGTAGGCATCAGAAATACCTGCACAGCTCCAATTTTACCTGCACTAATTATAACCTGCATATGCAGGTATGATTTCAAGCCCTGTATCTCAGTGTTCCTTCTTTTTTCCCCAGGTCCTCTCTCTAGACTCTAACATAACAAACCAGGTGAACAAACTGCGCCGAGACCTCCTGAAGCTGATCGGAGTCGGTGATTTCTCCGAACAAGCGGAGTTTAAGGACCCTTCCCTGTCCTACATTCTCCCTGAAGTCATCTGCAAGGTATGCAATACTGATGTGTTGTGTTATACAAGAAATTTAAATTGTGATTTCCAACACAAGAATTGGACATACGCAAATTTTCGACTGTACAACTCCAGTCTTTGTCAAGGATTGAGCAATCCACCGCTTCTGTGACGTCACGTGACGTGATTTGTATACCATGTATGAGTCACCCTTCATTGCATGATAACGTACAGTCCAGTCTTTCCCTGGATTTCGATGTAAAAAAAAAACGAAGAAGAAATCTTGGCCACCATTGGCAAGTATTAGCCAGAATTCCTGGTCAGGAACAAAATTTGACATTTTTTTTCTTTATTCTTTTTTCAGGCATCACTTGCCCATAGATAAAATACACGTAATAACAATAGTTAAAAATATAAGTATAGATGGACCCAGATATTGCGGAATACTACATCGGATTTGAGAACAGATTGGATAATGTTATTTAAGGACTTGTACAGACGAGATATGAAAGAATAGCATTGTTTGTGCCATGCAGCATTTATCCACTTTTGTACAATCCACTTGACACGACTTTTTCTCTACCCGTAGGTTTGCAACTACTGCCGTGACATAGACCTGTGCAAGGACCCCCTACTGGTCCAGGATGGTACTGCAGCTCCCTCCTGGCAGTGCTGCCACTGTGGCAGTCAGTATGATGTGGACGCCATTGAGCACTCACTGGTCAACTCACTCCACAAGAAGTCCATGGCTTTTGTGCTGCAGGTTGGGTCCTTTTTAACTAACCTTTGGTATGATAAACAGAACTCATTATGAAGGAAGTTTAAATTGTAATTTCCAACACTAGAAGTTAGACTAATATCCAAATTTTGGACTGTACAACTCCAGTCTTTGTCAATGACGCACAAGACTGATATAAAATACTACACTGTGTATTCCGTATCACCCAAGGTACCAGCCCAACCCAAGGGAATGTGCAAAACAAAATTTGTAACAATTTTCTGCACCTGGTATTTTAAGTTTTGAAAGCAACACATTCAGCACATGCAAAACACGTTCAAATTGTTCTATGGAACATTTGGAAGCCAGAAACACCTGTATCGAACAGTATCACGACCCAGGTAAATTTATAAAGCTTTATTCATTTTAAACTCTGAATTCTAACTTTTTGTTGCAGGACTTGCAGTGTCTGAAATGCAAAGGGATCAAGGACCTAAACCTCCCCATCTACTGCAAATGTGCAGGGGACTTCACCAACACTATCGGAGTGCAGCACTTTGCAGAGAAGCTGCGAATATTCCGCAACATCGCTCGACACTACAACATGGCTGTGTTAGAAGATACAGTAGAGTGGTTCATTCAAATGAATCCCCAAATGGCTACTTAAAGGATAAGAGATTTAGAAATGAAGTTACAAAATGTAATAGTGTTTTTGAAATACACAACCCAGTGATTTAAGAGATAAATCCTTGAAAAGTATATGAAACAGTTGAAAACTCAATCATAGATAAAATCTATGTCAACTTTGTTGGCAAAGAAAATGCATTTGTGTGAAATTTTGAGAATAACTTTGTATTTACTAAAATTCATGGCAACTTTTTGAGGGTCCAATTTATCATGTATTCAAACAAGTAACAAGAAATGCGTAAGGAAAATATAAAGAATGGTGTGTAAAATTAAAGACGGCCAAGAAAATAATGAAAATCTGTTCTTTTCTTGACTTACATGTAACCCCTTTAAAATATTCTAAGTGCCATACGGATCCATCCACAACTTCTCAAAAAATGTTGTCTACCAACCCCTCAAGTAATGTTGTCTATACACAGACATACCGCTCCAAAAACATAGCCTTTTCGGCTACGGTAAATCTAAAGAATTACAGGGGAGTAGAAAATTAGCCTAATTGTCTCTCATCTATTGATGCCAAACTTCAAATAAAAGTAAGCCAAGACAGCAAGTAGCAGGCCTTTATAATTATATATTGGTTAAAAAGTTGTCTGATTTTCTATGCTCCAGGCCTCAGGACTATGGGTGTGTGTGATTTCTCCCTATTGTCTTGACTGAATAGTAACAGACAACCAAGCAGACAGCTACATTGTATATGATAAGTGTCACCTTTAAATGCTCCGCAAACCTACATGTAGGACTGGTGCTCAATGCAGTTTTTTTCTTTTGTTTGAAAAAGAGTTTGAAAATCAAAAGACATGTAATACTCTAGTCAGTTATCTACATACTAAGTTAAAACAACACTATCCCAAATTTGTATATCGACATTCATGGAGCCAAAATATTGAATTTGGGGGTTACAGAAAATGGGGGCTTCCAAACCAGTTTTACCACTTTTTACTTCTAGACTAGTATAAGACAACAGACACTCGCCAACTTTCAGCAGAAGCGGTTACTGAGTCAAATACAGGACACTGCGTCAGACTAGTGAGCAAAATTATGGCGGATTTCTGGAATTTTCCTGAGTTTAAGCGGGCAGTTGTTCGAGAAGTGTCCGATGATGTCAACAACGCTGTTCGGGACTTGTCGTCTACGGAGGATGTTGATCTTGAAAAATGTCGCGCGGAGTGGGGGTTGTACGTCCAGGCCCTGCGCGACTTGGGTCTGGACGTTACGGTGATTCCGCAAGACCCCAAACTTCCCGACTGCCAGTTTGTTGAAGACCCCTGCATCGTGATCGGAGACACGGCACTCATTACCAGGCCTGCATGTGGACCCAGGCAAGGGGAGGTGAGTTTTTTTTGTTTTTATTTACTTCATGGTTCACCACAAAACAAGGCTGACGAGAGCCACTCAAATTCTTTGGGTTACTGTACAGCCAGTGAGAACAGATGTTTGTTGACCTTAGACTTGAAAAGTTTATAGTGAGTATTGTATTCATATTGCTGAATGTGACAATCTATTTAGAAATATCCACTTAGACAAACTTTTTTGATGTTTTGTTGACCTTAGACTTGAAAAGTTTATAGTGAGTATTGTATTCATATTGCTGAATGTGACAATCTATTTAGAAATATCCACTTAGACAAACTTTTTTGTTTTTATTTACTTCATGGTTCACCACAAAACAAGGCTGACGAGAGCCACTCAAATTCTTTGGGTTACTGTACAGCCAGTGAGAACAGATGTTTGTTGACCTTAGACTTGAAAAGTTTATAGTGAGTATTGTATTCATATTGCTGAATGTGACAATCTATTTAGAAATATCCACTTAGACAAACTGTGTAGACAAAGGTAGAACAAAAAGATTTTCAGTCCTCCTATGTCTACCAGTAATGACCACACAGGTATCAGTGAATTGATCTCCAGTGTTGCTTTAAAAAGAGAAGTCTACAAGACCTAGGTTAGAATGTTCTTCCTAGTAGTTCCCAATACTACGTTTATTCTTTTATCCTTGTACTTAATGTTACTGCTTACTTTACTTTGTTTGACACAGTACATACAATTATCCTTCAGGCTAGATTTTGTAATTACAGAAAACATATTTGCACTGTACTAAGTACAGTGTATTAAGAAAACATATTTGCAAGAAAGTGCAACTAGACTCGTGAACCACCTGTCTATTTCTTGCTACATGTATAATACATGTATGTAATTCAGAGAAATAAATGTTTGCTTCATTTTCTTCAGACCACGGTACTGGAAGAAACCATGAGGAACCTGGGACTGAAGGTTCGGGTTGTAGAAAGTGATACAGCGACTCTGGAAGGCGGGGACGTCATTTTTACAGGTAGGTACTGAGATGAGAAGACTTCAACAAGTATGAAATACAAGGTACTGAGATGAAGCAAGTTGGCAGAACCGTTCCTATTGCACCTGTGAGCAATAGGTAATGTATTGTGCACAGCTTTTCAGCAAAACGTCTCGTGTTAGGTCGTATTTACCTTATCTCGTGTAGTTTTCCATGTAATGTTGCGTCAAAAAAGCTGTCTGTGACGGGCACAATTCTGATGGAATGTTGGTCAAACATCCAATGAAGACCGTGAAAAATGTGGGTTTCGCATAGGTGTAGTATGTTCTGCCAACATACCAGGTAGATGAAACGGTTTCAGACCTTCTGGTTGTCTGTACACAGTCCTCCAAGTTTCTTATTCTGAAACAAGTAACTATACCATCACAGATGAAGTTGACAATATCAATATGAATATTATCATCCTTTTTTTGTAGGAAAGGAGATCTTCTGCGGTGATTCAGTGTTGAGTAACGAGGAGGGCTTCGCCATTTTGGAGGAGACGTTTGGAGATGACTACCCCTGCCACTCCATATTTGTGGAGTATCCCGAATTTCATCTGAAGGGTTATGCGGCCTTAGCTGCACCTGGAATAATCGCCATGTGTGACAACGAGTGGGGACACCCGGCGTGGGCGGTTAGTACTGCACTCGTTATTTGTTACCAGACTAATGCTTAGGCCACATCAATTTAATTTGTTGGTTCTCAGATTAGCTTCTTCATTTTATTCTGATTTACAAAAAAAAATTCTGGTTCTGAATCAACTCAAATATGCTCATATTTTGCCCCATCAGTTGAAGAAATTCCTAGTTGCTATAGTTTTTCCATCTATCAATGCAGTGGTTTGATTAAAAGTTAAAAATTCATTGTTTAAATATTAACCCAGCCTTTTGTTTTGACTTCATGGCTCCTATTGTAGCGTTTGGGGCTATAATAGGATGCCTAGACCTGTTTTTATTTTCATGTTTTTTCGCCCTATCGCTTCATTTTTTTCTGAAAAAATCCGAGAACCAACAAATTAAATTGGTGTAGCCTTAGGACCACAATTGCAACAAGACTGACAATGAAAACATACATTGCCATGGCAACGGTGGTTGTTGTTAGGGTTATTGTTGTGGCCTGTTAAAAATAGCACAGTGACTGTACAAGAAAAGAAAGCCTGATAAAAACATGCCAAAAAACTTAAGTCTAAACCTCTTCTTACAGAGTATCATTTTAATGTATCAGTTTAATCATGTATTATCTTTTGTCTACCACAGGACATATGTAACGTCTCCAACTACAAATACAAAGTGATGTGGATCCCTGACGACTTTGGGAACAACTGCATTTATATCAACGGCAGCATTATACACACCACAGAGGAGCAAAAGCCTGATACCTTTGCGGTAGGTTTCCTTCACATTCTAACATTTGTGTTAAAGTATAAATGGCATATGACTTAATATATGACTAACGTGACTAACAGATGCATATACATGTATGTAAACTAGAAAGGTAACATTTGCAAAGCAAATGCATAATGCTCTGTTCTTATTTAAACACATTCATATATATACATTGTACGGTCAGACAGGGGTCTAAATCCCTCCTACTATAAAATTGCAACATGATGTAACCCAACACTAGTTACCATCATGGTGACAGACAATTGGTTCAGGTCATTGACCTTATTTGTTTGGAGAAGAAAAAGAGGAAACAGAGCAAAACAATATGTTTTTCTTCCCTATCCTTTTATCCTATGTCGTGTTACTTTTATCGTATTTCGCAAGGGGCACTACTTTTGACCTTTTCCACCCCCAAATTTGCCTGGACGCTGCTTTCTGCCAATTGGACTGGACATTGTTTTCCATTAACCCAGCTTGGGTCGGTTCTGGGCTTCAGACCCCTCATCTTCTCATAATATAGACTGTTGAGAACAAAATGACGTTGTGTGTATCATTTTAAATATTCAGTAAAAGTTAATCTACATTATTTTCCTGTGTCTCCAGGTGTTTCAGGAAGAAATGGCAGACTACAACCTCATCCCAATGTCATCTGCAGAGGTCAGCAAAGTTGACGCGGCTTTAACGTGCCAGTGTCTGCTGTTCTGAGCAGCCTGAACATCTTCCATTGCAGCCTATGGTTCTCCTATCTTTAAGCACACCTTAAAGTATGCATAAAGGTACATGCAAGTGAAGAGAAATGGGACCTTAACGCATGTTTTAAGGGATCGGTAAAGAAGAGCTCTGTGCTTTGATTATTTTATGCTGTTCTGAGCAGCTGGAACATCCAGTGCACAAAATCCTATCTTTAAGCACACCTTAAAGCATGCGTAAAGCTACACGCAAGTGAAGAAAAGGGGGGCCTTTACGCATGTTTTAAGGGGTCCGTAAAGAAGAGTTTTGTGCTATGATCATATGTCCATAACCTGTGCATGGGTGTAGGTATTTATGGTAAGAGTGTAAGACTCAAGAGACACACCCCTGTCAATAGAATAGGACAGCTGGTGACCCAGAGACGGGGAAAACTATGGCCCTAGGATAAAATTGTCTGGAGCTGAATTGATTCACTTTGATCCGGCTTGGTCAGCCATTTTGTCTCGAGGCCAGGGACACCAGGACTCGACATAAGTCAAGTAAGTCAAGTGATCCGGCTTCGAGGCGGAATGGGGCCCATGTAACCTCTCTGTGTCACTGGGCTGTGCTATTTTATTAACGGGGGCGTATCTTTGAGTCTTACACGCTTACAAATCTAGTTTCATTGCATTACAAAATGTATCTAGTTTTGTTACAAATAAAATGGTCTGAAGCCTTTCTCCACATCAATTCTGTATGGACTCAATCTCTCAAGTTTAGCATGTTCATGTTTCTGCAGCCCTGGCTATATCCTAGCAAATTTATACAGACCACCAAAAATACATTTTCCATGGTTTATGTTAATGCTGATTAATGTTAACACTCAAGTACTATGCAATTTGCCATGGGCGGTTTAAGGTGTTGGTATAGAAACTTTCTTGGGAATGTGTAAGAATTCTGTTTGAAAGATGATATAGCCTGAAAAATTATCTGTTGTAAACACAATGAGGTGATGAGTCATCTATTCATCTGATGGACAATTTTGTGAACATGTTTTTTTTAATAAAATTGTATTTTGTTGAAAACCGTGGTTTGCTCTCTGCACTGCATAAAACGTGGAATTTTCATGTCAACTAGAGTTCGAGGACACATGCCTTCGCCATGTAAAGACTTTTTTCAGAAAAGTGTTAGTATTTAACCTTTTGAGCTATTAGTAATACATAGACCATGGGCCAGGCAAGTTTACTAGGATACAGTTGCTCCGCCCACACAGCTATGGTTTTCAATAAATCATTCATTGGTTTCAAAACAATTGGCTCGCTTTTCAAGTTTTCCTGTCTGGGCTTGAAGACTCATATCTTTTAAAGATCGGTTGCTTCTACGGCTACTACGAACTCGTGAGGGGCACCGCCATCACTGAGACCAAGGTTAATCACCTACTTTTACAATACACTATCATGTTTTGTACTTAGTTTTACTCCAAGTGTCCTTCACTAAAACACTTTTAATACGAAACATGTACTAGAATCTCAGCGTGAACGTTTTCTGAGTTAATTATCTACACTCTCACTGGACGCTTATCATAGAGAGACAAAGAGGCGGCATGGGCTTGGTAAGTTTAATGTTGTAAAACATGACAATCCACGGATGGGTGAGTGTACAAAAGTTCAAATGTGCTCAAGTACGTGAGCTTCACCACTACCGCTACTTGTGATGTTAATACAGTAATAATAATGAAACTTTATTGCATGTTCATTCCCGGGGGGATAAATGCACGGATGTACAAAGTACAATATACTAAAGAGTACTACAACAATAGTAATAAAGAAAGGCTAATATCAGGTCTAAGGTATACAATGCTAAAAAAAAAGAAATATATATATATTAAGTGGTATTGATCTAAGTTCTAATGGCTTTTTCTCTCACAAGGGATGATCTCTGGGTCGCGTGAGGTCAGGGGTCATTTCCGTGCATCTAGTTAACCTATTATTATTTGATATAAAAGCCCAAATAGTCACAATTATTATATTAATACACAACTGACAATCCGCCAGAAAAGCACGTCTAACTCCCTCCGCGGCAAAACTGGCGTCGACCAGCAAAAAATCAAAACCACCGCCGCACAAGTCTACATTGCCATGCTACATAAGTCGTTTGTATATGGTACGTTATAAGTTTCCTTGAATTGCTTTTAAGTAAAAGGAGTTGCCATATATTGTATTTTATACAATTTGTGAGCAACAAAGCTATATATTAATAAGACAGTGGGAAGTACCATGGTTTTCCCTTAGTTAACTAATCTTAAGTTAACTAATCTTAAGTTAACTCATCTTAAGTTAACTCATCTTAAGTTAACTAATCTTAAGGATTTGCGATAACCAACGGATTTACTCTAATGGCGGAGGGCCTTTTTACATATTAGGATGTTGTTTAATACTCCTATTATTTTTGGATGAGATGTGCTGTCCCCGTAAATAACTTTCATCATATCCAATGACTGTTCAAAATAACTAATAGCTTTCCTCTGATCACCGGTTTCAATCCAACATACCCCAATGTTGTTCAGTGATGAAGCAATGTCGGGATGTGGCGTTGTTTCGCCATAGATAGCTTTCATCATCTTCAGTGACTGTTCATGATAACTGATAGCTTTTCTCTGATCACCGATTCCATTCCAACATGCCCCAATGTTGTTGAGAGATAAAGCAATGGAGGGATGTGCTGTTGTTTCGCCATAGATAACTTTCATCATCTTCAGTGACTGTTCGTAGAAACTGATAGCTTTCCTCTGGTCACCGATTCCATTCCAACATACGCCAATGTTGTTTAGTGATGAAGCAATGTCGGGATGTGGCGTTGTTTCACCATAGATAGATTTCTTCATCTTCAATGAGAGTTCGTAAAAATTGATAGCTTTCCTCTGATCGCCAAGGTCACTCCAACATGTTCCAATGTTGTTAAGTGATGAAGCAATGGAGGGATGTGGCGTTGTTTCACCATAGATAGCTTTCCTCATCTTCAGTGACTGTTCATGATAAGTAATAGCTTTCCTCTGATCGCCAAGGCCACTCCAACATATTCCAATGTTGTTTAGTGATAAAGCAATGTCGGGATGTGGCGTTGTTTCGCCATAGATAACTTTCCTCATCTTCAGTGACTGTTCGTAGAAACTGATAGCTTTCCTCTGGTCACCGATTCCATTCCAACATGCACCAATGTTGTTCAGTGATGAAGCAATGTCGGGATGTGGCGTTGTTTCACCATATATAGCTTTGCTCATCTTCATTGACTGTTCATGATAAGTAATAGCTTTCCTCTGATCGCCAAGGTAACTCCAACATGTTCCAATGTTGTTAAGTGATGAAGCAATGGAGGGATGTGGCGTTGTTTCACCATAGATAACTTTCCTCATCTTCAGTGACTGTTCATAATAATTGATAGCTTTCCTCCAATCACCAAGGTAACTCCAACAATTACCAGTGTTGTTTAGTGATGAAGCAATGACGGGATGTGCTGTTGTTTTGCCATACATAACTTTCATCATCTTCAGTGACTGTTCAAAATAACGGATAGCTTTCCTCTGATTGCCAAGGTAACTCCAACATGTTCCAATGTTGTTAAGTGATGAAGTAATGTCGGGATGAGGCGTTGTTTCACCATAGATAGCTTTCTTCATGTTCAATGACTGTTCGTAATAACTGACAGCTTTCTTGTGATTGCCAAGGTCACTCCAACATGAACCAATGTTATTAAGTGATACAGCAATTTTGGGATGTGGCGTCGTTTCGCCGTACATAGCTTTCTCCATCTTCAGTGCCTTCTCGAGATAGCTTATAGCTTTCCTCTGTTCTCCAAGTGCCCTCCAACATAACCCTATGCTTCCAAGTATTCGGGCAAATACGGTACTCCTTTCTGTGCCTCTATATATATCCTTTCCGATGCTAAGTGCCCGTTTGCAGTAGGTGATCGCTTTCCTATAGTCACCGCGCCTGTGCGAGACATTGCCTAGGTCAAAAAGAATTACTAATTGTTTTTTCTCGTCACCGTCCGCCTCTTCCAGTGCTGCCTCAAAATTACGTATGGATGCGTCTAACTGCAACAGCTCTCGTGTTATTTGACCCCTGATTTGAAATGAGGTGTCAAAGATTACTGTTGGGAATATCTTTGTCGTTGCATCTTTATTTACGATTGTATCGGTAATGCATCTTTTTAATGGAATAGCTGTATAATAGTACCTGAACAACATTTTAGAGTCCGGTATGTAGAAAGCTGAATGAACGAAAGTGTCATCTACGTCATGTTTGTCCAGTTGGACTTTCATCTCCGTGAGAGGAGACAGTCTGTCCTTCTGTCCTCCGTTGGCAATGTACGTTCTTAACCGTAGCTCCGCTGAGATGCTGATCAGTACAGTCAAGTGGTGGGCATCTTCATGACTGATCTGCTGTGTCTTGTGTAACTCTTCTATCATTCCCCACACACTGGGAATCGTAATACCACAGCAAATACTCAACACATCAACAGCCACGCTGGGAAAACGATAGATTTCTTTCTTCACATCCAGAAGTTCTCCCGTCGGTTCAACATTTTCTATTTGCCCAATATTATCCTTCAGTATTAGCATTGCTGACAACCGTGACAGAACAGGGGAACGGTCTACGATTTTGTTGACTCTGTCCATATAATCACCCACCAAAGACTCGTCTCCTGTTAAGTAGGTCACCCGTCTGAGGATGTCTGACAGGTGATAGCCTTCCGCCAGGGCGATGTGCAGATGCTGATATTCGGCCAACCTGGCAGGAGTCTGGATGAGACTAACGGGAGGTTTGCTTTTGGTTTCGTCTCTTCCAAAGGGAGTTTTAGAAGCCCATGGCATGAAGCCGTCGAAGGCGAAGCCACGAGGTGTGACGGAGTCGAAGAACCAGTCTTTCTCTGGGTCTTCTGAGAGAAAGTCGTTGAGTGACGGGATGGCCATGGCTGGGAGGATGGTTTCCCCAAGGTTGATGACTTTTAGATGTAAGTAGTGTGTGAGATTTAGGAAGTACCTCCGTGTATCATCATCATCCTTCCCCTCCTCAATCAGAATGGAGAACTCCAGGTCAGAGTACGGCGTCACCAGTTCTGTGGCCTGTGATCCCAACCCGATGAAAGCGTACTTACAGGGAGGAGGTCCAAGAATGGCAATGCATTCATCTGTCAGAACATAGATAAACCTTTGTCTTCCAACTGCAATGCTTTTGAACAAGTTCTTGATTGCTTCTGCTCGTTTGATCTCTACCTCTCTTACTATGGGATCGTCTTCATCATACTGATAAGGGTTGTGTTCCTGATGAATTGTTTCGAGCTGAGATTTTGCACGGGCGCGCGAGTTGTCCAGTTCCTTTCTGTGATCTAACGCGCTGCTATACGGGCACGGTTCACAGTCAAGGTTACAGGTGTTTCTAAGGAACTGCCTTTCTGTTTCTTGCAGTCTTGTGATCATGTTCTGTTTGTCTCCATCTGTTCTAGCCATGGAGGCGTTATACAGAGCTGCCGCCTGTGTGAATTTCCTACCTTCTCCTGTCCGCTTACCTTGCTCGACGTAGACGTCACCCAACCTGCACAGACAGTCGGCTTCTTTAGCCTTGTTGGGCTTATCGTGATCTGTGAATAGGAATTCGGAATCAAACTTCTGCAGTTCAAATATGTTTAAATCTTGACAAATATTAAGCTCCTAAGTGAAATACCTTTATGAATTCAATTGTTATTACAGAGCTAAATCTTCCATCATGATAAAGAATGCTATTTCAGTGGTTAGTAAAAACTTATAATTAGATGATATTTGCAAGTGGAGAGTGTATAACATTAACAGACCGTGAACAAGCTTCAGTGCGGCTGCAAAGTTCTGCTCTGCTGCGTCCAGGTCTCCATTTCTTACATCACTTTCTGCCGTCTGAATGTATCTGCGGTAGGATCTGTACAACGAAACAAACACTATTGGGAAACAAACGTACTTCACAAAGGCGACAAATTCATTACTTTTTATTACATACAATAGTATCTTACATAAATCTGTATAACCTATAGCTATATATAGTTAGTGTTATTAACAATATCAAAACTTAATGTCATACGCAGCAAAATGTAATGACGTGTAATACATTTCTGGCCATATTTTAATGTTTTTAATACTAGTATTCATTTCACAAAACCCGATTTTTACCACACTTGTATACAAAATATCAGATATTCAGGACATTCATATCTAATACACGAGACAAGGAAACACATAGAGGCACTAACATATCGTCAACTTGACAGGTGGTTCCGTCGCTAGAGGGCGCAGCTGAGAAGGGAGAGAAGTGGCTCTTCCGTCCTCTCACGTCTTGTCGTTGCTTATGCGTTGGCCTCTGCGAGAACCCATAGGGAGTAGTAGTATAAGATTAACAGGTTGCCATGTAACCCACATAAGAGCTTTGGAAAACGTCAAAGGTTAACAACCTGGCATGACCCGATTGTGCTTTTTAGGCAAAAAGTACAATCGCTTATATAACACCTTCTACTACCAAAAAACGCAACAACAAAATCATTCTAGCCGAAAAAGGACACCATATGAGACTTAAATTTCGCTATTAGCGACGCGAAATGCATGACGGGATTCATGGGGATAAACAAACCTATTCGAAACCCGGAAGTCTAATAAGCACTGGCGAGTCAGGCCAAAAAAATATACTCTCACCTTGTTTCTTGTGGTGATCATGTCTTGTCTGATTTTTGCTGTGTGCAGTAAGCGGTGAACAATGACAACTGCTCCATGAACGTTGTGACACCGCGCCAGTGCCCTGTTGTACAGAGCAGTAGCTCTGGTCAAGTTGCTAGTGTCTCCAGTTTCTGTTCCTCTTTTTAAGTACACGTCACCCAGACTCTTGATCGCTTCTGTTTCTAATATGTCGTTGTCTTTTTCTATCGCCTCTACCAACACCTGTGCGTATCCAACCAACAAAGAGTCCGTGTTACCTTCGGTAGCCCGCCTCTTGTCCAGATCTTGGAACTTTTCCGCTACCTTTGCAGGTGTAGTCGTCTCCTTGTCTTCCGTTGGCTGTTCCTTACCCTGTGACGACACCCCTTGTAAAAGCCTCTCCGTGTAGTGGTAGCGGTGTTCTATACCATCTGCCTGTTCTTCATGGTAACACCGTACCATAGCAGCCAGATAAAGCGCCAAGGCTGTGTTGAATTTCCTCGCTTCCTTCCCGAGTCTTCCCTTCTCCGAGTTCATGTCGCCCAGAGTTTTGAGCAGCTCCACTTCCGCCAGCCTGTCCGTGTCGGCCATGGCGTCCACCAGGGCACGGAGGTAGCCTGTCTCCGCACGGGCTAGTCCGTACCTCCTGCCCCTCTCGTCCGCCTCACGGAGTTTCTCACACACCCGCAACATGACTGACACTTGCTATGCTAAAAATGTCTCTAAAATTCTTTGTCTTACATATGTCCGGTCTCTATGCTAGCTTTACGTATGCACCTGAATTGAACAAGCACAGGTTTCACACTGCTTGTGTCAACTTGCACTACGTCATATGCATATTTCAGTTCAAAGGTTGTAGGCTGAATACAAAGTACTAAGTAATCTACAAGCAGGTTTCTTCGGGGCGATCAAATTGGCCCCCGAATTACCATTTCCCCCTGTCAATTTGACACCGTATTTCAGTCTGCTTGAGATATCTGTATACCCCGGCAGATACTTTCAAGGTATTCAAGGATTTTCTCAATATTACATATTAAAATATTTCAAGTTTTTGACAATCCATCCATTGCTTTTGAGTTATCGTACTAAACCACACACATGCCTGCAGACACTACCAACACATAGCGTTCTGAGCAAAGGTAAAAACATAAATTTTTCAACATTTCTCAACATTGATTGAAATGCAATTTAACGTTAACATTACCTATCTTAATGGCGTCCTATCGTTATGAATTCATTTTCGGTGTTAAAACCTTAACGTTGAAGTTTCCTGATTACTAAAAAGTATTAGTTAGAGAAATATGAGGCCTAAAACTTAATGAGTGCCCCTTCCCACATCTGCTTAAAAATGAGCTCTCCGGGCAATCATTCATTCTCGGTACCATTCGGTACTAGTCGGACGATCCCCGACTTGTGCCGACAACTCCAAGCAGATCTTTCTGTGGCTGCAAAGACAGTATCAAATTGGCCAGGCAGTACTGGTATCCGCTCGTCGGACAGTTACCATTTATAGTAAGAGAGTCCAATAAAACGCCTTGAACATCTTCCATTGCATCCTTTGGTTCGTCTATCTTTAAGCAGACCTTAAACCATGCGTAAAGCTACACGAAAGTAAAGAAACGGAAACTTTACGCGTGTTTTAAGGGATCCGTAAAGAAGAGTTCTGTCCTGTGATAATTTTATATGTCCATAAAGACAAAACATTAACCTGTGCATGGGTTTAGGTCTTAACGGTAAGAGTGTAAGACTCAAGAGACACACCCCTGTCATTATACAATAGCACAGCCCGTTGACCAAAACAGAGAGTATGGTCTATATTTATTACCATGATTAATGTTTTTGCTGCAATATGTAAAAGTCACATAGGAGGCGTGGATGATAAGTGCATACGGAGATAGATTGTGGTGTTTGGGATTATGTCAACTGGTGTTCAGCAAATGATTATGGTCTTATACTGCGGCATTTAAGGTTAACTTGAAAAGGGACGTGGTAGGACTTCCTTAACCCCTGTGACCCCCCCCCCACC